TGATTTGAAGGGCAATATATCTGGCGAAATACTGGTCTAGTAATGAACAAGTACCTCTATATGTTAAGGAAATGGTGGTGATGATGATCAGTGAAGTTGTGATTAAAAAATGGAGTGCTGGACCAGCATTTTGGTATAGAGGGTGAAAGTAGCCACCTATGATGCCAACATTCGATATGTGCACTGGTTCATCTAGGCTGTTCCACTTACGATCCAGCTACCTACTACTCATTACCTGGGACAAACAGGACAAAAGATGGCCTAAGTGTCTGAGCCCCTTACCCCCACATGGAGACCTGGATGGAAGCCCCTGATTTCAGCCTGGTCCAGCTCTGGCTATTGGGGCCATCAACAGGGTGAACCAGCACATAGAAGATTCTGTCTCTCTCTGCCTCTCTGTTTCCATCTTTCCCTGTAACTCTGACTTTGAAATCATTAAACAAATAAAAAAAGTGACATACCAACTTAGTTATACTTTTGAAGAAATTTGTAGACTCGTCATGGAAGAAATAGAGATGGTTCAAAAAAAAAATCCAGGCAAAAGAAGGAGTAAAAATAGTGGTCATGATACTAAGAGGTTACAGAGAAAAGATTTACTGAGGATCAGAATGGTCTAGGAGATGAGAAGTGTTCTAGCTGTGGAAACATCTGGGAGAACTTAAGTTTGTGTTACTTAGTATGTTGTAAATCGAAAAGTTGAGGTTTGAGTGTTGAGAACCCTTAAATGACACGGAGGCAGAGGTACTTTGAGAAAAAGTCACAAAGGTGAATTGTAACCTGCAGAAGGAAGGTGGAAGGCAGACATTCCTATTGGGATGAGCTCTTTGTTGGACACAGTGAAAAGGACAGGAGCTGGATGAGCAAGTGCTCCAGAGTTCCATGTGCCAGGATTTTGGTGAAGGCAGTGTGTGTTAAACAGAATCACTTCTGTTAGTTGTCAGAAATGTTCAAAACTAAATGCAAATTTAGGTTTCCTCATTATCAAACTAACATAGGAAATAACCACAGTGAAAATGAAAAACTTCACAAAGATAAAAAGACCTGTGAGTCAGGATCCTGTGCAGTTTGTGTTGAAACTCAGGCCTTCTCCAGAAGAGGTCAGCAGAATTCCTAGCCAGTAGCCGCTCACAGTGTTTGCTCGGCCTACGTTGTTAATAAGTTATCCTGGAGATACTTGGTTCGTAGCACCTGCAGATAAGTCCTTTGTTGCCTTATCTAGAATTTTAGACATTGATTTAGAATTAAGAGTTTTTGTATAAAAGAGTTCTGATTTTACTTAGTCCTTGTACTCATGTGTTTTCAAGGATGACATGTAACATTACTTTCTTGAGATATTTAAAACTTTAACTGAGTAGAAAATATGGAGATTGAAATTATTAAATTGCTAATTATGTTAATAAGGAAGTTGTGTTAAAATTTTTTTTACCATTACCTTGAATTATCAGAATCTGATAATGGGTGGCAAGTACATTGTTTTTTCTTAAAATTTTCTGTGTCTTGTTCAGATTAATCTATTTAACTCCTTAAGCTTGAGCCTAAAGATTTATTGACTTAGCTTTTGTTTAAAATAAGACCAACAAACCACAACACTACAAAACAAAAAAACCAAGGAAGCAACAAATACATTAGTTGTAGGTTATAGACCTTTCCCTTCCTGGCGGTAGTTTTTTCTTTACTGTTTTTTATTTGAAAATATTCCAACTGCTGTAGATGCTTGGTTGTCACTCTAGCTAAGCTTCAGACTTATTAAATAGTAGAACAAAGTAGTTTCATTCCCTTTAAGGATATTGTGTACTTTATGTTTGACTATACATATCTTTATTTTTTTCTTTTGTGAAAAATGTGATTAGAAGTGAATTTAATAATTTTTTAAAGATTTATTTATTTATTTGAAAGGCATAGTTAGGGAGAGAAAGTTTTCTATCCTCTGGTTTACTCCCCAGATGGCCACAATGGCTGGAGCTGTGCTGATCTGAAGCCAGGAGTTTATTCTGGATCTCCCACATGGGTGCAACAGCCCAGTGACTTGCTCTGTCTCCACCCACTGCTTTCCCAGACCATAGCAGAGAGCTGGTTAGGAAGTGGAACAACTGGGTCTCAAAGATCATGGCATCTATGTGGGATGCCGGCACTGCATGCGGCGGCTTTACCTGCTAAGCCACAGTGCCGCACTCCTCCCCAACCCCCCCTTTTCAAATAAGTCATATGATTAAGAATTATAGGAATAAGAAAAGGAAGTAAAAAAATGTTAACAACATGCTTTTCACTGCCAAACAAAGCATCTTTTTTTGGTCTGAGGAATGGTAGTACGAAGACTTTATTCCTTTCACTCTTTTGTGGTTTGAGTTACTTATAGTAGTACAGATTTCATTGTTCAAGTTGGTGCCTTTTTTTTTTTTTTTTTTGACAGGCAGAGTGGACAGTGAGAGAGAGAGACAGAGAGAAAGGTCTTCCTTTGCCGTTGGTTCACCCTACAGTGGCCGCCGCGGCCTGCGCGCTGCGGCCGGCGCACTGCGCTGATCTGATGGCAGGAGCCAGGTACTTCTCCTGGTCTCCCATGGGGTGCAGGGCCCAAGCACCTGGGCCATCCTCCACTGCACTCCCGGGCCACAGCAGAGAGCTGGCCTGGAAGAGGGGCAACTGGGACAGAATCCAGCGCCCTGACCGGGACTAGAACCCGGTGTGCCGGCGCCGCTAGGCGGAGGATTAGCCTAGTGAGCCGCGGCGCCGGCCCAAGTTGGTGCTTTTTTCCCATAAATACATCCACCGCATACATTTTTGTTTTTAAATTAATCATATTAAACTTTGCCTTTCAGTTTCCATCTTAGCGTTTTTACTAGTTCTGAATATCTGTAAACTTGATTTTAAATGACTTGATAATAATCCATCATAATGATTTGTTTGCACTCTAAATTTATGGTGAGTAATTTTGGTCAGTCTCTGTGGTAGAGGTGATTGACAGTACCTACCCTACATTCTGTGAGGCAGAGTGGGCACCTCAGGCAGGGCCCATTCAGTGTTACTTAGGCTGATGGATAGTAAGCACTTAGCAGATAAGAGAAACACAGTGGATTTCTTCATCCACTGCTGGAGTTTGGGAGTCAGAAGGAGACGGGGATGCTGTAGCTTCCTAATACTAAGCATACACGTTAAAGAATATGACTGAATATGTAAATAAGTATTAATGATTTATTTTGTTCAAGTATAGTGTCAAATTTATACTTCATAGAGTACAAGTATGGGTGAGTTAGGATTGCCAGTGACATTCTTGAATAAATCATACTTAGATATATACTTCCAGGGGTTTGTTCTCATTCACTATAATTCTTTAGTACATCCTTACTTTTTAGGGACCTTTCTTTAGAAAGCCTTCCAAAAGCCATTAATTCAAATTTAATAGGAACAGTCTATACTTTTGCTTTACTGATGTGTGCCCATCTCCTAGGACAGAGTATGATCTATGGCAGCCCTATTCTGGGAAGCTTTGATGCCTTTGGTGCATAGAAAAGCTGAAGTGCTTGTTGTCTTTGTAAGTTAGAGGTCAGATGAGAAAATTTACCTCATAGTTGAGTAAGCTACCTTCAATGTGATGCTGAAGTAGTTCAGGGAAGAAAAATATGAGGGAAAAAAAAAAGAGGCTTAAGAGGCCAGATCCTGAAGAGTTTTGTGAACCACACTGATTTTACTTGAAGTCCTCACTCAAACTTTTGAAAAGTTTTGCTTTATTTTTTTAAACATTTATTTATTTATCTCAAAGGCTGAGTTAGAGAGTGAGCAAGACAGGTAGACAGACACTGATTTTTCATGTGGCCATAGAAGCTAGGGCCAGTGTGAAAGCAGCCTGCAGGCGGTCTAATGTCAGGAACTCCATCTTGATCTCCTTCGCAGGTAGCAGGGGCCCAAGCCCTCGGGCCATCTGCTGCTGAAAGGGTTTATTGTAAAAAGTGCTTTTGTAGGGCATAGCAGTTAAGGCACTGGTGGGACATCTGTATCTTGCCTCAAGAGTGTCTGGGTTCCAGTCCTGGCTTTGCTCCTCATTCCATCTTCTGGCTAATGCAGATCCTGGAAGGCAGCACTCAAGTGGTTGAGTTCCTGCTGCCGCTGTGGGAGATCTGAATTGAGCTCTCAACCTTGGCCCATTGTCACTCCCCGTCTTCGTGGAGGAACGACACAGGACCCTGCGCTGTTCTTTCGTCTGCTCGGCCCTCCCCGGGTTTGCTGCTGGTTCTTCCCGGGTTGGCTACTATCCCTTCCACCTCCGTGGAAGGGCAGTTCCCACTGGCCACATTCCCCACTTCCGCAGGGGAGCGGCACACCGCCGGCCGGCTTTCTCGGGGGCTGCACAGGTGTTCCTTCAGCTAGATGTTCCCCTTAGATGTTCCTGGTGCATGCCGTCTCTCTCCTCCTTTATAGTCCTCCTCCGCCAATCCCAACTCGGCTGCCCACACGCCGAGTACGCTGCTCTCCTCCAATCAGTAGCAAGTCCTACAGTTTATTGGTTGAACTGGAGGCAGCTGTGCGGAAGCTGTTTACTTCTCTCCCAGCGCCATATTGTGGGAGAGCAGATGCATAGAATAAGTCTTAATTCCAGTAACTCAGTCCAGTCCGGGCTGCTCCCCACAGCCCATGAAGTCATTTGGGGAATGATTAGTGAATGGGAGCTCTCTGCCTCTCAAATAAATAAAATGAATAAAGTTGAAAAAAATAACACTGCTGATCTATCATTTCAAAAAACAAATGCTATTGAATTTGTGTTTTGGAGCAAGGATTCTGGTTTCTGAGTAGAAAAATGGCTTTGGGGGTTTGAGAAGGTCCAGGAAAGTGGGGATGTGCATTTAATTAATTTCATACAGAAGAACGCTTTGGTTGGTGGGACACTGAAGTCTTTAGAGTTAAGATTTTCTGACCTGAGGTTAAATGCTACAGAGTGGTCGGCGCCGCGGCTCACTAGGCTAATCCTCCGCCTAGCGGCGCCGGCACACTGGGTTCTAGTCCCGGTCAGGGCGCTGGATTCTGTCCCAGTTGCCCCTCTTCCAGGCCAGCTCTCTGCTGTGGCCCGGGAGTGCAGTGGAGGATGGCCCAGGTGCTTGGGCCCTGCACCCCATGGGAGACCAGGAGAAGTACCTGGCTCCTGCCATCGGATCAACGTGGTGCGCTGGCTGCGGCGGCCATTGGAGGGTGAACCAACGGCAAAAGGAAGACCTTTTTCTTTGTCTCTCTCTCACTGTCCACTCTGTCCAAAAAAAAAAAAAAAAATGCTACATAGCTATGAGGGACAGGACATTGTGGTGGTAACAGCTCACCCACCGAAGTAATATTTTAAGTTTAACAACACCAGAAAATGATTTTTTACGAATTGTTTTTATGATTTTTTTCCATGTCTCTACCAGGTAATAGCTAAGAGAAAAGAGGATTCTGGAAAGATAAAACTTTTGCTTCATTGGATGCCTGAAGACATGTAAGTATTTGAAATACTCTGTAACTAATAGATTTATGCTTTAGATTTATTAAAATCTGACATTCCAAAATAATTTAAGTAACTAAATTAAAGTACAAAGCATTAGAGAGGTGAAATCATAGATTTTGAGGTTGTCAGGATTAGCGAGATTATCTGAAAGCTCTTTGAGTACGTGTCTCAAGTTTAAAACCTCAAACTTAGAATTTTTTTTTTCCTTTTTTTAAGAATTTATTTTATTTATTTGCAAGTCAAGACTTACACAGAGAGAGGAGAGACAGAGAGAAGCAGAGAGAGGCAGAGAGAGAGAGAGAGAGAGAGAGGTCTTCCATATGTTGGTTCACTTCCCAGATGCCCACAACTGCTGGAGCTGCACCGATCCGAAGCTAGGAGCCAAGAGCTTCTTCAGGGTCTCCCATGTGGGTGCAGGGGCCCAAGAACTTGGACCATCTTCTACTGCTATCCCAGGCCATAGCAGAGAGCTGCATTGGAAGAGAAACTTGAACTCACGCCCATATGGGATGCCTGCACTTCAGGCCTGGGCTTTAACCCACTGTGCCACAGCACTGGCCTCTTTATTTCTTTTTTTAAAATAATTTTTTTGAGGATATATTTTATTTATTTGAAAGGCAGAGTTAGGAAAGAGAAGAGGCAGAAAGAGATCTTCATTCTGCTGATTTACTCCCCAGAAGGCTGCAATGGCCGGAGTTCGGCAAGGCATAAGTCAGGAGCTTCTTCAGGGTTTCCCACATGGGTGCAGGCACCATCTTTGGCTGCCTTATCAGGTGCTAATGCAGGAAGGTGGATCAGAAGTGGAACAGCTGGGATTCAAGCCAGCGCCTGTAAGGGACACCTGTGCTGCAGACAGCAGCTTAACCTGCTATACTACAACACCAACCCCTATTGTTTCAAATAAGAATAGTTTCAATGATTTCTAGTCATTGTTAGGGTGTGATTATTTTTAGGATTCTTTTTTTTGACAGAGTTAGTGAGAGAGAGACAGGAGAGGAAGGTCTTCCTTCCGTTGGTTCACCCCCAAAATGGCCGCCACGACCGGCGCCTATATGAAGCCAGGAGCCAGGTGCCTCCCCCTGGTCTCCCATGTGGGTGCAGGGCCCAACCACTTGGGCCATTCTCCACTGCCTTCCCGGGCCACAGCAAAGAGCTGGACTGGAAGAGGAGCAACCGGGACTGGTACCCGGGGTCCTGGCGCTGCAGGCGGAGGATTAGCCAAGTGAGCCGCTGTGCTGGCCTATTTTTAGGATTTTTAATGACCTATAAGTATGTACGTGGGGCCGGTGCTGTGGCGTAGCAAGTAAAGCTGCCTCCTGCAGTGCTGGCATCTCATGGGTGCTGTTTCGAGTCCCGGCTGCTCCACTTCCCATCCAGCTCTCTGCTCTGGCCTGGGAAAGCAGTAGAAGATGGCCCAAGTCCTTGGGCCCCTGCACCTGCAAGGGAGACCTGGAAGAATCTCCTGGCTCCTAGCTATGGGTCGGTGTCACTCCAGCCATTGTGGCCAGTTGGGGCATGAATTAGTGGATGGAAGACTTCTCTCTCTCTCTGCCTCTCCTCTCTCTGTTTAAATCTGACTTTCAGGTAAATAATAAATAAATTAGCCATGCCTTTGAAGTCACTTGACTAATTCTCCAGTGGCCATTACAGTTCTCTTTAAGAACTTCTTACCCAGGTGCTCTTCAATTTAAATATTTCATATTTCCTTTTTATCTTTTTAATTAAAATTTTCTTATTAAGTGGCCAGTGCTGTGGCATAGTGGGATAAGCCTCCTGCAGTGCTGGCATCCCATGTGGGCAGTAGTTCTTGTCCTGGCAGCTTCTCTTCCAATCCAGCTCTGCTATGGGCTGGGAAAGTAGAAGAAGATGGCCCAAGTACTTGGACCTCTGTACCCACAAGGGAGACCCAGAAGTTATTTCTCTGGTTTAGTACTAACATTGCCTCTTATTATTCCATGTTAAGTTTTGTTCCTTTTTGATTTACAAGTATAAGACATCTTTAACTGTTTCTGTCTTCAGTCACTTGATTTTTTTTTTTTTTTTAAGGTTGATTTTATTTGAAAGGCAGAAGGAGAGCCATCTTTCTGTCAGTACACTTCCCAAATGTCACAGTGACAGAGCCTGGGAGTAGCCAAAGCCAGGAGCCTGGAGCTCCATCCGGGTACCCAAATGGGTGCCAAGTGAGTGGCTGAGGCTTGGGTACTTGGGTCATCTTCCACTGCTCTCCCAGACACATAGTTAGAGAGCTGGACTGGAAGTGAAGAAGATGAGACTTGAATGTGCACTTACAGTGTGGGATGCTGGCATTAAAAAATGGCTATTTAACCCACTGTACCGCATCACAGGCCCCGAATTTGATAGTTTCTGTTCTTTCTTTCCCAATTCCCTCCCCCCTCCCCCTTTATTTGGAAGAGTTACAGAGAGAGGCAGAGACAAAGAGAGATCTTCCATCCACTTGTTTAGTCCCCAGATGGCTGCAGCAGCAGGAGCTGAGCCAACCTGAAGCCAGGAGCTAGGGCTTTCTTCTGGGTTTCCCACATGGGTGCAGTGGCCTAAGGACTTGGGCCATCTTCTGCTGCCTTCTCAAGTGCATTAACAGGAAGCTGGATCAGAAGTGGAGCAGCTGGGCTTTGATCTAACACCTGTGTAGGATGCTGACACTGCAGAGCAGGGCTTTATCCCACTGCACAACAGCACCATCCCCTCTTATTTTTTTTCTCAATGAATATTCATATGTTTTGTACTGAGCTCTTTTTACATTATAGGTATAAATATTTTATCTTTAAAAACAGGTTCTGTATTCCTAGCCTTTTGAAAATTGATTAGTCCAAATATCAAAATACTTTTTGAATTTCCTTGAAGGATGAAATTTCCTTCAATTCAGAATTTTGGTTATGTATGTTAAAAAACTGTGGAATTTAATCGTCTGTAATTTCTTTGTTCATGTGAAACTTATGTGTAAATTTCACTTACTTGAAGGCTGGCTAGTTGTTTCTTGATAAATGTTTCCAAGTGTATTTATTGCTTTGCCACTAAAAATCATTAACTCATTCCTGAGTTCATATTGAAGATTTGTTCACGTCCTGATGCCTGAACTTCTTGGTTTCTGAAAACCTTGCTGAGCTAGGTGGCCCTGTAACACCAACGAAGAGGGCTGGGATCGTGATGCATATTAAGGATAAATCTGAAATTCTTTTTTCTTTTTTATCCCTAGTCTGCCAGATGTCTGGGTGAATGAAAGTGAACGACATCAGTTAAAAACTAAAGTAGTTCATTTATCAAAGCTACCCAAAGATACTGCCTTGCTTTTGGACCCAAACATATACAGGTAATTTAATTCTTGGTGTTAAGTTTTACGTTATGAATTATAATCTTAAAATTTCACTAACCCTTGGAGTGGTTAGACCTGATTTTTATATTCATGCTGAGTATCCCTTATCCAGAATTCTTGGGATCAGAAGTATTTGCTATTTTGGAGTTTTTTAGATTCTTGGATACTTGCTTAGACTTTAGTGTCTGAGCATCCTTAATCCAAAACTCCAAAATCTGAAATACTCCAGAATCTGAAGCCTTTTGAGCTCCCTGTTTTCACTCAAATAGCTTTAAGTTTTGGAGTATTTTGGATGTGGATTTTTGGAATAAGGATACTCAACTTGTACTTAGTACCAAGCATACCTTGTTTTTTGGTGCTTTTTCTATGTATAGAAATTATGTCACAAAGAGTTACAAATTATGGAATTCAGAAAGATTATTTTGTAAAGGTTTGTATGCTATTTAATTTCAGCTTTAAGTAGCTTAAATTGCAACATGAGTGTTTTGAAAATAAGTTCCATTTGTTTAAGCACATAGTTGTTTTTGTAATATCAGTTTTGTGGGCCTGGGAATATTTTGCATATGTCCTAAATACGGTAATTAGTTGGAATTTTTTAAATTTGTACCCTCTGCAGACTTTGAGAGATCAGTGTAAATGGTCAGTTTGTTGAGGGGCATCTCAGAATGGTCCCTCTTCTAATGATTTTCTGATCTGACCTTAGTTTCAGTGTGCTTTGCTTGTGAAGGTGTAGGGGAAGCAAGAGGAGAGACCAGCATTTGTATGTGCTGAGTCCTTTGCTAGGTGCTTTCATACACTTCGTCCTCATAGCATCTCTGTGATATAGGTGTTGCTATCTCTATTTTACAGATTGGAAAACTGAGGCAGGATGCTAAATAAATTTACTTTGCCTGAGGTTACACAGATAGCATGTGGCTGAACTCCAAAGTGCCTCTATCCAGGGTGATTAAAAAAATTATGAGAATCTTCAAAACCTGGTTTGAAAAGGATCTCTTATTGTAATACGTAGTATGCATAGGAACAGTTTCGAAAAGAATAAGGTGACATAACAGTAATTGGCAATCCCCAAATACGAGGTTTTGCTATAATAAAGATAGTTAATTTTATAGTAATCAAGCAGCTGGAAGGTTCCATTCATTCCAGGATTCGGCAATTTGTAATGTTACTCAGTGTAGAGGCAGGATTTCTGTAATTTGAAGCATTGTTCTGAGAATCGGTCAGCCTTACAGGAATGTTGAGACTTGACTTTTCCCTGTTCTAGAAAATATTTCGTGTAACATCATTTGGTGAAGCTGCAAAATAATACAGTAAGACTTGTTCTTATCACGATGAGATACATTACCGGAAGAGGATTGAGGAAAATTCACTAGCAAAAATAGGGGAAGTCACAAACTATCTTTATAAAGAAAAATAATTATTCTTATTAGTACTTAATTTAGGATTTATTTCTGTTGATTATTTGGAGAGGAGTGTAACTAAAGTTAGCATCCTAAAAATGCATTTGACTTTCCCTTTTCTAAGGGTTTTCCTTTCTCCCAGAACATGCTTATGTTTGCTGCATTTGTGCTGTGTAGCAAGTGATTTAGATGTCTTCGTATAAGTGACTTCAAAAAAATGTCATTCAACCTTAGAGCTGATGTTCAAAAGTACATAAGAGTATCACTGAATATTATGGAAGTGTGTGGCTGTGTAGTTCTTGATTGATTTCACTATTGGGAATTGATATCCTTTAGTTGTAATAGGTGCTTCTGTAGGTTATTTTCCTTAATTCTACTAAAACAAAATATTTAATGTTGACTGTAACTGTCTATGCTTCTACTATTTCGGAAATTAGCACTGTGCTCTAAAGTAAGGTAGTGTCCCAGAAGTGGGATCTTTGTGCTGGTGTAGCTCATTTGCTTAATGTTTGGCATAACTAGGAAAATGTGTGGAATTAAGTTAAAGGGAAAAAACAATTATCCTAATTTGTTTTTAGGAGGAATAATTTCCTACTCATGCATATGTCAAAATGAAAGTATGACAGAACTCCCAAATATGTATTTGACTTCAAAATGAGACTAGAAATTTTTTTGGGGGGGATTTAAATGACAGTTTTCGTCTAGTAGTTGGTCAAAATACATGTGTTAGATGTTGAATTCTTACATATATGAATATTTATTAAAAAGTTGTATTATGTAACTAAATTGTGGAAATGTTTTGGAAATACCTTAGTGGTTATTTGATCCCTGATCATATTGCCTGTATCTTATAAACAGTTTTGATGTCACTCTTTTGAAATTCTCAGTGTGTTTGATTCAGTTGAATAAAAGGAAATTCCTTTTTCTCTTTTTCTAGAACAATGCCGCAGAAGAGGTTGAAGAGGTAAAAATAAATAAATACATAAAAAGCAAACAAGCGGGGACACCTGCAGTCTTAGTCACTGACAATGGGTTTAGGAAAAGTTGCACATTAGAATCAACCCCTTTCCCTCTCCTCCACCCCCCTTTTAAAAAAAAATCCAGTATTTAGAATAATATTTATGCTTAGTGTAAACATTCTGTGAATGAAGTAGGGTCTTTGGTGGAATATATTAATATATTACTGTATGTCCACATCTTCATGGAATGGTACTGTGGGAGACTGAGCAAACACTCTGCTGGCAACTTAGTGGAACAGCTTCTAAAAGGCTTTGCATGCTTGCTGCTTTAAGCTGCTTTTTTTTTTTTCTTCCCTTTAGTGATTACAGTAGTTAAACTGAAAAGAAAAATATGACATGTGCCCTTACAAATTCCAAAAGCACTGTAAGGATATTTATCTTAACAGTGTCTATTTGTTTGGAATTAAATTAGGAAATAGTTAGGCAGTGAAAAATTTTCAAGAGATAATTAACTTTTCAGTTATGATAAATAGATGTGATTGGTTGCCATTTGTGTTCTTTTGCAGAACTCTGATAAGAAAAGTGTTCAATTTGTATTTAAGCAAACAGTGAAGGACATTTGCAATCAACTAAAAATTCGTCTATCGAATTAGGGCTGAAAATTACTGTTACAGAGTGTTGCAGTATGTATGTTGGCTCCCTTTTCAGGACTAGGGTTTCCTCTTGGAGTACAGTATGTTAATATTTACCTATATAATTCATCTGTTAACGGTTTTTGAAAAACCTCTATTTCAAATTATTTGAATAGTCTTTGTATTTTCATTTAACCTATATGACTAATTTTTTTCCTGAGGAGAGCAGTTTGGTTTTTGAGTTGTTTTTATCAATATAAGAAAAATTGTATTTTTTTTAAAGTATCTTCAAACTGAATCTTTTATGCACCAAAGTTGGTTTTGAAAAGGAAATAAAATCATTTTCTTGCTTGCTAAGCAAGAAGCCATATGGATTTTTGTTTTTTACTTACAGAAATGGAAATATGTGTAACTTGTTAGTATTGTATGAGACAAATGTTGCATAGAGATAATAGAACATTGCTTGTAAATAATTCAGCAGATTTGTAATATATTTTTATATTATGAAATGTACTGTAGATGTTTTTCTAGAGGCATGAAAGTTAAATGTATATATTATGGTAGAAATAATATTGAAGGATATTGTAATTCACTAGTGCTGCCAGAGGAATTGTTAATAAAGCACCTTCTTTAACAATAAATGTCTTTTGCAGACTTAAGGGACTATGTACTACTGTTAATATCTATAAGAACAAAACACATTGAACATCCTTCCAGAACGTCTTTGAGGGAGGACCTACACCCATAATAGAATTATGGCACTCATTTCTGACAGTGACCGTGAAATCCATTATTTCCTTGCTGTTGGAAGGACATATTGTAAAGTTTGTGGTTATATGCAGTCAAACTGCAGAAAATACTCCTGATTAAGGAGCTTTCACTTTACTACAATGATATAAAAACCAGCAGTTTTTACACTAAATTTTTTAAAAGAGTAGACAAAAATATAGAAGTAAGCCTTTGGTTCCAAAATGGGAAAGGTTCCATGATACTTAAGTCATTTCTCATTTGCTTTAAAAAATAAAAAATAAATAAAAATTATGGGAGGGTAAAGAGCTATATATGTGAAATGAGTCATATAAAAGTAAATGAAGTGCAAATAAAAAGCACTGCTATAAGACATTCTGGAATGGTTGTTTAATAAGGGTATTATCCATACCATCTGTAGCAAATGTGATTTATTTTTGAAAAGAAAAGCAGTGTGTTTTCTTACTTTTTTGTTTTCTTTTGCTTAAGCACTTCATCAGTTGCTTTATTCTGTATCTGCGAAGTAATCTGCGATCTCCTTTGTTCTTTTTAAGTTTTGATTTGTTATAACATTGCCAAATAGAAGTGTTTCAGATATATAGTTTGTACCTGTATTTTTATTTTATTGCCTCATGTTCTTGTAAGTCATTTTTAATTGACCGATGATTGTAGACCTTGCTTGAGTATTTTTTCTAATAAAACAAACAAATTGCATTTAGCTTCAAATTGTAACAATTCAATTAAATTTTAAAATTACATCTGAAAATATACAGCTAATATTCTTTAGGGACACAGAGAATAAATTAGTTTTTTTCCATTGTGTAGAAATACTTAGGTGTCAAAACCAAATTTCCTGGTTATTGATGACCTGCTGATTATGTTATCATTCATGATGGTTTTCTGCTTATCTGACTTTACTTTAATAGTATTACTGTCATACCAAAAAGAATGAATACTTAAAATGAGGTTGTTTTATATATGTATACATATATACACGTATTCCAATTATGATTGGGAAATAAGTGAAAATCTTAACTCGTGTAATCATGTATTAAATCTCTACCCATTTTTATTGTTCCTTCTACTCCCAAATGTGATGCCTGTAGTAATCTATCCCTTTTCCAAGTCCTCGTGTAGTCAGTTGCTAGTTAAACTGCAGCCTTCCTGAATAAGTGTTCTTCCATGTGTTATCTGTGACAGCCTTCTCCCTGCAAAGCCAGAAGTGAATAGCAAGCCCTTAAGGTCCACAACCCTAAAATAGTTACTCTCTGGTCTTAAGGAAAAGTTCACTGGTGCTTGGTCTAACTAGTAAAATTTTTTTGAAAAAATGGACTTAGACCACACACCTTGGATTTTGATGCAGTGGTACTTATCTTGGTGACATGACAGTACAGTAAATTTCAGTGAAAACGGATAGACTTTTAGTAAATACTGCTTTTTAAAGTATCTACAACAAATGATCTTTTTGGAAAACATTTTACATTGGATTTCTTAATAGGTGTTAATAGTCTACTCTTTCACCATTTGTATTTTCGTATTTTGTTTTACAAAGTAGGACTAAATATGAAAATCAGATATGTTTGAACCATAAGACGCATCTGCTTTATCTAAAAGAATATTGAAGTGGAAAATATTGTAAAATTTAAAGTTGTTTATTTTTCTAATAAACATTTTCATATATGAATTTTCCCTAAAGTAGAACACATTACTTCCAGATTTTAGATGAAATTACAATTGACAGTGATTAACTGTCAATGCATGTTTTAAAATCCTGTTTCATTCATTAAAAGCATTGATAATCATGTTTGCAATCCTTTGAATGTAAAGTGTTTTTTCCCTTTTACACATTAACAAAATGTTTTAAGTATGTAGAATCCTCTTAAGAACATAGATTTTGCCACAATTGTTTGAAACATCTTTTGTTTGCTCTTTGAATTCTTTTAAGAGATGTCTAATTTCTTATTTTTAAATGAAACATAAAAATGGGAAAATATTAGTGATTTAAAATACTAGATGGGTATATTTTCTGTTTAGTATAGCTTTAAAAATATCTTTACTACCTTTGCATCAGTTTTCCAAAAAGGCACACAGAAATCATAGTTTATGTACATTCTTAATATAGAAAACTGACAGTTGTGTAACAATGTGTGAAGTTAAGACTACAAAGATATATATATATATATATGTATATATTTGTGAAAAGGGAATTGATATGTCATTCAAAACAGATTTTTTCAGAGAAGTAAATTTTGGGGATTCTGATTGAAAACCTTTTTTTTTTTAAGATTTATTATTTGCTTGAAAATCAGAGTTACACAGAGGAGAAGCAGAGAGAGAGAGTTCTTCTATCGGCTGGTTCACTCCCTAATTGGTCGCAAGGGTTGGAGCTGCGCACATCAGGAGGCAGGGAGCTTCTTCCTTGTCAGGGGCTGCTTCTGGTCTCCCACACGGGTGCAGGGGCCCAGGGACCTGGGCCATCTTCCACTGATTTCCCAGGCCATAGCAGAGAGCTGGATCGGAATTGGAGCTGCGAAGATTTGAACTGGCGCCCATATGGGACAACGGCACTGCAAGCGTTGACTTTTTTACCAGCTGCGCCACAGCGCCGGCCCCTTTTTAATTCTTAAGGAATCTTTTGACTTGTTAGGACATTTTGCAGTTTTAACACTGCAGTTTTTAATAAGTGCCAAGTTTTCATATTTAATTAAAGGTTAGAGTATTTTTTCATCTCTAGTTATTATGAATACCAAGATGCCTTAAAAATGTAGTCATGAAATACTATATTCAAATTTTTTATCTTCAAAATTTGAAAAAATTACCAAGCTTTATTAATTCCCGAGTCATGTTGCATGTGGTTCTGCTTATCTGAAAATCAGAACGGACTTGCTTTCAATGGGTTTTGCCAGGAATTCCCATGCAGATTTTTTACAATAAGTTATTTTGAAGAATTGTAGCAAGAAAACATGAAAAAGGTTATAATGTTCTGTATAAAGGGAACTTGGCTTCAGTTTGTCTAAAGAGTCTCAGTGTAAAGAGTGTATCACTGTTACACATAGTTCATATATTAAGTTATAATCATTTTGGTTAATTTCACTAAAAATACTTTTATTGGGTGGAACCTGTCTCTAAATAAAAAAACCTTGATTATATTTGTTATACATAATAGTTTAAAATAACACTCTTTGGAGAAAGTACAGAGTATTTGGTTTTTTTATTTGAATGTTTTGATCTCAGAGACTGGCCACTGCCTACCTACCCTGACTTTCTTCAATACTTGTATGCTTTGGTTATGGAAAACCTACATTTTAAAAAACCTTAAAAATTTGATATGAAGCTTGCCATATTTATATGTTTCTGTTAAAACTGCTTCAAACATATTCTGTATTTGGGTCGCTGAAAAGTCTTCTGTTTGTCTAAAATTTATTACATTTGGGAGATTTTTTAGAAAAGCATTGGGTTTTCTGAGGGAGATTCCATAGCTAGGAAATGACAGTCAAAGGATACTCTAAAGAGTTCCTTGTGAAATGCAATTAAAATGTAAATTTACTTTGGTGTAAAGAAATTTGCAATCCAAGCATAGTCTATTAAAAGACACTTTATGCAAAGTTCTGAAAACCCCACGCGGGCTGTGAAACAGAAGTTCACCTCTGCTAAGTGGGCTCAATGGAGGTAGTTCTGCACAGATAGCGCTGAGGCTTTCATAGAAAAGTTCCAGCAGGTGTCTTTGAATGTCATAAATTAAGACTCATAATGCCTGCATAGTAAGTGTCAGACTTTGTAGCAATTAGCTTATTTAGGTTTTTCTTATGTTCATGTTAGGCCTGAAATGTTTACATTCTTTTAAAAATCTATTTTATAGTATTCAGGGTTTTTATAGAAAACTTTCGTTTAATAACTATAAATTTCAAAATTACAACTTTTAGATTACAGCATTTCTTCTTCCCATAACCTCCCTCCCACCCACAAATCAACCCATCTCTTACACCCTCTCCCGTCCAATTCTTCATTAAGATTGATTTTTTAAAAATTATCTTTATATACAGAAGTTCAGCTCTATACTAAGTAAAGATTTTAACAGTTTGCACCCACACAGACACACAAAGTATAAAGTACTGTTTGAAGACTAGTTTTACTGTTAATTCTCATAGTACAACACATAAGGGACAGGGGTCCTACACAGGGAGCAAGTATACAGTGACTCTTGTTAATTTAACAGTTGTCAGTAATCACCCGAGACTCTTGTCATCACAAACTCGGACCCTGTTTTGACAAGGCCATAATCAAAGTGGAAGTTCTTTTCTTTTTCTCTTCTATCTCTCCTATTTATTTATTTATTTATTTGAAAGTCACAGTTACGCAGAGAGGGGTCTTCCATCCAATGGTTCACTCCCCAGTTGGCCACAAAGACCAGAACTGCACCTTTCTGGAGCCAGGAGCTTCTTCCTGGGTCTCCCATGTGGGTGCAGGGGCCCAAGGACGTGGGCCATCTTCTGCTTTCCCAACCCATAGCAGAAAGCTAGATTGAAAGTGGAGCAGCCAGGTTTGGAACCAGCGCCCATATGGGATGCTGGTGCTTCAGGCCAGCACTTTAACCCTCAGCCTCACAGCGCTAGCCCCCAGCAGTGTTTTCAACATTTGTCCTAAACATCAGTATTTAAAAAAATTACTTTGTATTAAATTTATATTTGCCAAATGAAGAAATTAATAGTATATCAGGTTTTATTTTTCCCCAAAAGAAGCCTTTTATTTAACGAGTATAGATTTCATAAGTACAACTTAAGGAATATAGTTATTCTTGCCACCATACCCACCTTCCCACCCCGACTTGTTCCATACCTCCTCCTCCCTCTCCCATTCCCAGTCCCATTCTCCATTAAGATTCATTTTCAGTTAACTATACACAGAAGACCAGCTCTGTACTAAAGATTTCAACAGTTCACACACACAGAGAAGAAGTTTTACAGTTAATTCTCATAATACAACTAATTGAGGACTGAAGTGTTAAAATGACTCCTGTCGTTAATTTAACATTAGCACTTTTATGTATGATGTCAGTGATCACCCCAGGCTTTTGACATGCTCTGCCAAGGCTATGGAGGCCTTTTGAATCCACAGTCTCCTTCAGTATTTAAACAAGGCCACATCATAAGCAAAGTGGAAGTTTTCTCTCTTCAGAGAAACATACATCCTTCTTTGATGGCCACTTCTTTCCACTGGGTTCTCTCCCACAGATATCCTTCATGTAGGACATTTTTTTGCCATGATGTCTTGGCCTTCCATGCATTAAATGCTTTGATGGCCTTTTCAGTCAGACCAGAATGTCATAGGGCTGATTCTGAGGTCAGTGCTACTTAAGACAATTGTCATTCCATGATATGAGTCTGCTGTGTGGACTGCTTCCTATGTTGGAGCGTTCATTCCTTTTTAATTTTATCCACTTTTATTGCCAAACACTAAATCTTATATATGATCACTTTTAACACTTAATCCTATCCATATGCTCACATTAACACTTAAAATGCCATTTTTGCCAACTGGCTTAAGGGGATATTGGGTCCCATGGCAAGTTTTTAAAATGTAGCCTTAGAAGTAAGTCCCTAGGAATGTATGCAATGTATGTAGTCCTCCCTCTCTTATTCCCATTCTGATTTTTTTCTGATACCTATTTTCAGTTGACTTTTCACATGATTAACTCTATGTTAAGTGTATGAAGAAAAAAAAAAAACTTCAAGTCAAGACAGGGCTTTTTATGTTATTAAATTTATACTTATCAAATGAAATTAATATAGAAAATAGAAATAAAAATGAAGCTCGCTCTTTCATCTAAGGATCCCTGCCTGAATTACATTTGAATCCTTCCAGAATTTTCTTTTGTGCTTGCTACACACCTGGTTCTGATATTTTTTTAATGGTAAGATGTTACATAATATCATTAGTTACAGATTGTCAGTTAGATTGCTGATAGGTTTTTCTGTCATGCAAGTAATACGTAGCGTCCTTGAAGAGCATTTCCAGTCTGATTTCCTGGAAAGGACTCTAAGCCGACTTAAGGAGTTTGTGAATTGTGTATGTTAATGGTTTTGTTATTGTCAGAATGTTTTCTGAAATAGGTGGTACTAACAAATTTCCAGCAGCTGAGTGTGAGTGGTCTTTTCTCATACCATATTAATTCCAAAATATTAACCTTTAGTCTGTTAATTTTAAGGTGGACAAGTGATATGTCATTAAAATTAAGGATTGCCTGGATTCAATTCTGAGTTGAACCAAAAATTGGCTGTGGTTTTGGGCAAGTTTTGCTTGAGCTCTTTGTTAGTTTTTTCTTTTTTCTTATTTGTTAAACCTGTTCTGTGTCATCGTCTATTAGGAATGCTTACTGGATGAGCATGACTTAAAGTACCATCTTAATTTTTATATCTCCACTTAGAATCTCTTCAAACCCAGCCTGGAATTGGGCCCATATTTGACATTGAAAGGAATGTTAATGAAGCTTCCTTAGTTTTACTGGTTATTTTTGAGTAATCAAAGGCTCTCCACTTGCAGTCACGGAAGTCTCAGTTTTAACACATCATTAGTTTTAATAAGCATCTTTTAATCTGTTTAATGAATTTGAGGAAATGTGCATGATGTCACTGACATAGTCAAGAAGCAGAACATTTCCGTCCCCTCTGCCATCTCCGGCTTGTCTGCAGGCTGCCCGTCCACACTCTGTCAGTATAGATTTCCTAAAGTTCTATATAAATGGAATCCTGTAAGGTTTATGTGTCTGATTTCTGTCAGCATAAAAAGTTTTGAAATGCATCAATAAATAGTAAAAGTGTTTACTTTTTCTACTTACCCGTTGATATTGAACATCCTTTCCTGTGATTTTTGGCTATTTGAAGTGGGCTTGACAGCTGTACTGGAAGTACAGTGCATGCAGACAGCGCATGGACGAGGTGCCTGCATGTGCCAGCTCCCCTGCAAGCTTCTCCCTATGTGTCTCTTCCATTTGGTTGCTTCTTCGTCATACCTTTTGTAATAAAAATGGCATCATAAGTATAAATACATAAAAGGTCTTGAGGACCCTAAAGAATTACAGAACTCCTCGGTTTTCAGATTGACTCTATAAAATAGGGAGTAGAGTGCCAGTTTTTCTGGTTACTTCCTGCTGATAAAGGTGCTGATACGGGGTTGGGTACCTATACTCTGCATCGGATTGATCGAAGAAAAGCAGTCTTGTGTTGTTCCTGCATGGTGGCTTGGGATATAGCATTCATTCATTCTTGTAAGAACTTTTGAAATTCATGAATTATACATGGTAGGAATAGAAGCACTATGATTATGAGGATAAAGGGAGATAGTAGAGACATTGCCATGGCTGAATAGATGGCCCAAATTAGGATTATTGGGGAATACATTTTTTTTTTTTTTAAGAATTATTTTACTTGAGAGTTTCAGAGAGAGGTCCCCTATCTGATGGTTCACTCCTCAATTGGCCACAACAGCCAGAACTGTGCAGATCCAAAACCAGGAACCTCTTCCAAGTCTCCCACGCGGGTCCAAGATGGCCCAAGTCCTTGGGCTCCCTTCCACTGCTATACCAGGCCATACCAGAGAGCTGGATGGAAAGTGGAGCAACTGGGACTAGAACCGGTGCCCATGTGGGATGTAGGCACTGCAGGCCAGGGCGTTATCCCGCCACGCCACAGCGCCGGCCCCAGGGAATACATTTTGTTAGCACATTTTTTTTATGTGTTTGATCCCTTCTCTTAGCCACACTCGACTTACTGGTGTAAAAGCAGCATTCTTCACCCAAAAGAGGTCAAGTCACCTGTGATTTTGGACATGAGACAATCGCTTTGCTAGGTCGTTCCTTTTTAGAGTGAGCGATAAGTCTTCAGTTTTATTTGCTTGTTTACCAAGATGGCCAGTGTGGCCATTCCTGTTTCAGTTCCTGCCAAGACACCTAATGAGACCAGCAAGGGGGCGAGTCCAAAATCCCTCTTGAGATGGTGGGTTAGAGGATGGAAAATAGAGATTGGTCTAGAGTGTAGGACAAAGGAGGAAATGGGACGGTAAGAGTACCAGTCCCCATCTAGTTAGTGGGAAGACAGATGTAAACTTTATTGCCACAGAAAGAACACCCCTGTTTCTGGTCCTGTACATGTGATCATATGGTAAGTGACAACCTTTATGTTTCTTAGTGGCAGGGGAACGTGATGAGTGATTGCTATAGCAGCTGATTGCATTAACTTTGTAGTATTGATGGTCAGTAAGGGTGGGTCTGGAAGAGTGCTAATTAGGTCACAGGTGCCATGGGGATATGAACCCACATCATGGAAAGAAAGGAAAGGAAGAGGGCATGATGCATAAAGGGGCTTGACAGATCAGTGACGCTGTAGCAAAAATGCTTCGGACAGAAATAACAGAACTCCAGTGTACACCCCCCCCCCCCCCCCGCCATCTTGGTGTCATTTCCTGGGAACTCCAGAAGAGAGACATCTTCGGCTTTTGTCAGGAAGGTTCTGGTACAGGTAACATAAACAAGTCTAGGGGCCTTTTCCCAGATCTGGGAGGGAGTTGGGAGGGCATGGCCAAGGAGTGTGTACAGATCCAACATGAAGAGACATTGGGTTTATATTTAAAGAATAGAGTAGAAGAAATGTAGATAGAGTAGAAGAAATGAGATAAGAATTGTGGGAGGAAATGTGGATGAGGTATGTGGGGACTTGAGACCACAAAGTGGGGGACCAGGTTAGAAGCAGCAGACAGTAGTAAAGCTTCCTTCCAAGAACAGGAGTAGAGTAAGGGTGCTAAGAGAAGTTTGGTTGGGACAATTGCTGCTAAGCCTACAGCCATGATCAGGGCTATGACTGCAGACAGACATGGAGGGTCAAAAAGGGTATCTGTAGGACTGAAACCCCAGAGATGGCTCTGGAGCTGACAGTCTGAGATGAGGTAGACTGGTGGAGAGAGATTCCAATGGCTCTTTGCAGAATGAACTGCAGAAACCTGCAGTTCAGAATTGTCAGGGCATGAGAAGGCCGTGCTTCCGGTATTGCAGGGAGCTCTGTCAACCCTGGAGCGGGAAGAGACTTACATGAAGTAAAATATACCTGGGGCGTGCCCCTTAAGGACAGGAGTGGAGGGGGGCTAGAGAGGGGCCAGGACAGGGCAGGCGGTTGGAAGCCAGGCTTCATTCCATTTGAACAGCTGGCAGAGTCCTTCTTAAGCTGCTTGTTGGGGGAGGTGCAGAGCAGCACATAGACCCTGATGAGGTGGAGAATACAGGGCGTGGGTCTGAGCTACTTGAGAAAGAATGCAGGAGCTAGGGAGCCCCTGGATGGCAGTGGGAGTAGGGAAGGGGGGTGAAGATGTGTCTTTCAGTCAAGGAGCTAAAATGGCTCTGAGGCTTAAGTTCTTAGTTCTGTCAGAGACGATCAGGGTGACTCTGGGATTTTAACTTGATCTGTGTAGGGAGGAGTGGCTGTGAAACAGTGATGGAGAAGACTGCAGTGTGCAGAGACTGGAGAGGGGTGCATCTGGGATTGAAGCTTTGAGTGTTTTGTATTTGGTAGGCCACAAGGTAAGGAGGTGATTTATGTTGGAATTGATTTCAGGTAAAAGATTGAGGATGTAGTGTGCGTGTATTTTTAGGAAATCGTGTTAACTTGGCACGTATTCCTAAAGGTAAGTCTGACATCTCTCTCTAGTAGAGTTACTGCACAGCTTGTAAGTCTGGGTGTGTATGAGAAGGACCATGGACACCCTGAGAATCAGCTACACACAGCAAGGGATTCAACCTAAGACCTTGTGGCTACAAACTGTTTTAATAGGTTTTCAGCTTCCATGATGGTAAAGAAAGGATGGATCCATGGTTCAGTTTGCTGGGGATGAAAGATACAGGAACAGAAAGGCAACTGCTTATCCTTTGTATTCTCATGCATCAATCACCAATTTAAATTAGCCACCATAAGTCCTTCCTGGAATAATGTGGGATCATTAGTTCCTTGGAATCATGGGAATGGGGAATATTTATCAATCACCACATGCCAGACTGTTGTGAGCACCGTGGACACCCCACAACTCAGTGAAGTCTTGGAAACTATGAGGCTGATGTTCTCCTGTCCCCATTTTCTGGGCGGAAGGAAAGGAGCACAGAGCGGTTGTGTTCTTGAGGTCCCATTTGGGAAAGTCACTTGGAAAATCTGTGAATGAAATCCCAGAGGGAGTGACTTTGAAACGATGCAGGACAGCTGAAATTTGCCAGAAGAAATTCATCAGGGCAAACGAGAACAAAGTGGGATTTAATCTTTTGAATATTTGGTCCTCGGTGTAAAAATGAGTAAGGTGTTCATACTGCCCATCCTAGGAGTAGGGCGCTGACAGTATCGCTGCCATCATTTCTGGCCTTGTGCAGTGGCTAAGTCTGGAGCAGTGTGGAGGTAAGGAGGGCACTTGGCCCAGCTGTGGAGCCTTGGGGCAGGCCCCCCCCCCCCCCCCGAGAATCCCCAGGTAACCTTTCAAAGAACACTTAAGACTTAGGATGAGTGTGGAGAAGAGCTCTGGGCAGAGCAGCCTGGCATCCAGGTGGGGAGTGAGGTATGAAGAGGCAGGAGGCTAGCTGTGGGGGTGGGGGGTGGGCTTTATGTGCTGAGATGTGCAAATCACTTAAGGCTCTAGGAAGGGAGCTGATCGGTTGGTTTTGGTAACTGCAGAGCAGACAGGGCGGTGGAAGCTGAGAGACACTAGCCCAAAGGCTGCAGCTCTGCTTTTCTCCCCACGGAGGGGGAACCGGGAAAAGGAATAAAACAGTTTTCCTGAACATTCAAGTTTTACTGAAAAGTAATTTAGCAATGTGTGAAAATACTGAATTCATTGCTGGGGAAATTAGTGTTTTTTAATAATTCTTAAATGTCTGTTAATTCAGATGTGCTTTGGAGTACGGGAGGAGTGCAGTACTCCCTTTCTAGCTGTCCGTGGATCTGATGGTACCAGTGCATTTGTTGTTTTCATAGGGAATGTAAAGGGGCTTGAGGAAGATATTCATATGGTTCAGTAATGCACCTGTTTCATGTTTTTGAGGAGCATGAGATCAAAACATCCTTAACGTGCATATGATTACTGTCTTGCCTTTATGGAATGTCATATTCAAACTGACAGAGAAGACCTGCGGAGAATGTATTTCCAAATGGAAGACAAAAGCCTGGTTAACATAGGACCAAGCCATCTTCCGGCATGATGGCATATTTTGTGACATTGTGTGAATTACATAGGAATTTATCAACTCAGAGGCTGTTACTTGAAATAGAGAATGACATTTGGCATAGATGTTAGTTGGTATTATTGTTTATAAGGAAATTTGAATGTGAAACATTTCTAGCAGATTTAAGAAATCTTTGACAGGGAAAAAGGGGAAAGTTAGAATACAGAAGTGAATCATAATGAGTAGCAGATAGTATGTGTGTGAGGCATTTCCCGTGACTGGAAGATGGACTGGCAAGTCTGTCTTTGTCTTGGATGCTATACTACGAAGAAGACAGGTGGAGGTATTTCTTGAAGGCACTTGCTAGGATAGTATCGTCTGTCCCTTGAAGAAAATGGGAAACTGAAGTTTGACCTCTCATTTTCATCCCTCATGCCCACCCTCTGCTCAAAAAGATTGCATGATATAGTGAGGTAATTTTTTTTAGAACTAAATGGTTGCAACAGCCAGGGCTAAGCCAACCTGAAGCCAGGAGACAGGAACTCCATCCTGATATCCCATGTGATTGGCAGAGGCCTAAATTCTTGGTCCTTCCTCCTCTGCCTTCCCAAGCCCATTGGTAAGAAACTGAATCAGAACTGGAGTAGCTGTTCTCATTCCAGCACTCATGTGGGATGCTGGAATCACAGGCATCAGCCTTAACTCACTGTCACAATGCCTGTTCCATCTCTAACATATCTGATTCTTTTGAGGTTTTTTCCTTTTAAGTAATTTATCATTTTATTTGAAAAGCAAGGGCTGTTGCTATGGCATAGCTCGCCACCTGTGGTGACAGCATCCCGTATGGGCACTGGTTCAAGTCTTTGCTGTTCTGCTGCCAATTCAGCTTCCTGCTAGTGCACCTGGGAAAGCAGCAGAAGATGGCCCAAGTGCTTGGGCCCCTGCACCCATGTGGGAGACCTGGAAGAAGCTCCTGGCTCCTGGCTTTGGACCAGCTCAGCTTTGGCCATTGCAGCCATTTGGGTAGTGAATCAGCAGATGGAAGATCTCTCTCTCTCTCTCCCTCTGTTTCTGTGTAACTCTGCCCTTGAAGTAGGTAAATAAATCTTTAAAAAAAGAAGAAAAGGAAAAGCAGAGAGAGAGAGCTGTTCCATCCACTGGCTCACTCTCCAGAAAAGCAAAATGGCCAGGGATTGATCGGACCAAGGCTGAGAGCCTGGAACTTCATCCAGGTCTCCCACATAGGGTTGGCAGGGGCCAAGCACTTGAAGCATGGTTCACTGCTTTCCCAGGTGAATAGCAGGGAGTTGGATTGGAAGCAGAGCAGCTGGGACTTGAACTGGTACTCTGTTATGGGATGCCGGCACCACAGGTGAAGACTTAACCTCTGAGCCACAAGCTGGCCACCATTTTTAAGTTTTTAACTGAAAAAAAATGACTGCCTTGTCAAGTTTTTTTGTTTTGTTTTGCTTTTTGAGTTTTATTTGAACAGTTAGTTTCCATATGCTTGTTCACTCACCATATGCCTGCTATGGCTGGGGCTTTTTAGGCTGAAGCTGGAAGCCTGGAGCTCAGTTCAGTTCTCCCACACAGGTAGCAGGGACTCCACTGAGCCAACACCTGCTGTTTCCCAGCGTGCTCATTTAGCTGGAAGCCGAAATTGGGTGCCCAGCTTGGATTTGAACCCAATCATTCCAATATTGGATGTGGGTATTACAACCCGAGGCACCTGCCAAACCAAATGCCTATCCCTAAATATGTTTTAAGAGCAGGAAAGAAAAGTCAGGAGGAGCTGATTCAGGACTGTCAGGTGGATGCCCTAAGACTTCCCATGGAAATTCTCCCAACCTTGACCTTGTTTGATGAGAGGAATGAATAGGAGCGTTGTTTTGGTGCAGGGTTTCTGGTGAAGCTTTCCCAGGAGAAAACTCAAGCTTTGAATTTTTCAAAACATTGTCCCAATAACCAGATGGTATCATTCTTTGGCACCACCCACCCTCACCTCAGCAAGGTGGCTAATAAAATGTTTGGGGCATCCCAGAAAACTGTTGCAAGACCTTTGCTCTTGATCTGTTTGCTTTTGCCTTTTTTTTTTTTTTTTTAAGATTTATTTATTTCAAAGGCAAAGTTAACAGAGAGACAGAGGCACAGAACGCGCACGCGAGAGAGGGAGATGTCTTCCATCGGATGGTTCACTCCCCAGATGGCAGCTGGAGCTGTGCTGATTCGAAGCCAGGAGCCAAGAGCTTCTTCTGGGTCTCATGTGCAGGTGCAGGGGCCCAAGGACTTGGGCTGTAGCAGAGAGCTGGATCGGAAGTGGAGCAGCTGGGACACGAATCAGCTCCTATATGGGCTGCTGGTGCTGGAGGTAGCTTTACCCATTATACCACAGTGCCACCCCCTCCAGTATTTTTTCTTTAAATTTTATTTTTTTTTCATTTTATTTATTTTTATAAACTTATTCTTAAAATTTTATTTGAACGAGAGAGATAGAGATCTCATCTACTGATTTACTTCCCAGACATCTGCAACAGCAAGAACAGGGTCAGGCCGAATCCAGGAGCTAGGAATTTGATCCTGGTCTTCCACATGAGTGGCAGGAACCCAGCTCCTCGAGCCATCACCCACTGCCTCGCACGGTCTGCATTAGCAGGAAGCTAGAATTGGGAGCTGAGCCAGAACTTGAACTTAGACACTGCCGTATAAGATATGGGTGTCTTATACACTAATGTATACACTTAGGCACTTATACACTGCACCAAACTACCTCTTAACTTACTTCCTACTGATGACAGCAAGGCTTTTCCTCTACTAAAATCATGCTGTGCAGCAAATTCCTGTGTATTTACCTTTAAGTACTTCAGTGTGTTGGGATGTTTTAGGTGTTTTATTTGAAAGGCAGAGAGACAAAAATCTTCCATCCACTGATTCGTTCCCCACAATGCCTGCAACAGCCAGGACAGGGCCAAGGCTGCAGCTGGGAGCTAGGCATTCAATCCAGGTCTCCCATGTGGGTGGCGGGAAAGCAATTACTTGAGCTGTCAGTGCTGCCTCCCAACATCTGCTTTAGCAAGCAACTGGAGCTGGAAATCAAACCCAGGCTCTCGCATGTGGGCTGTTATCTAAACCATTGTAGTAACCCCTAGACCAAACACTTGCCCCTATAGCTATTTTTTTTTGAATATTTATGTATTTATTTGAAAGAGTTACACACACACAGAGATCTTCCATCCGATGGTTCACTCTCCAATTGGCTGCAATGGCTGGAGCTGTGCTGATCTGGAGCCAGGAACCAGGAGCTTCTTCTGGGTCTCCCATGCAGGTTCAGGGTCCCAAGGACTTGGGCCATCTTCTGCTTTCCCAGGCCATAGCAGAGAGCTGGATCGGAAGTGGAGCAGCTGGGTCTTGAACCGACGCCTATATGGGATTCCAGCGCTTCAGGCCAGGGCTGAACCCGCTGCGCCTCAGCGCCAGCCTCTTGTTTTTCTGTTTTTCATGAAAGCTATTGAAGCATCCAGGTCAGTTGATTTGCAGGCTGTCCTTCCGTTTCTATCTGTCCAGCAGCTCTCTCATGATTCAGCCAGCAATGCAGAGGTGATGTTTTGGCCATTTCCCGGTAGTACACAAGGAGTCACATGACACCAGTTTGTCCAGTTATTGCTGATGTTGGAGTTTGATCATTTGGTGAGCTGCTGTGTCCCATGCTTCTCTATACCCTGTTTTCTGTTCTTTCATTGAATGATTTTTGCGTCCAGTGATAATTACAGTCTGAATCAGTTATTGCTTTGAAGGTTATAAAATGTTAGTTTTCTATTTCTATCATTTTTGTGTTTATTGGCTGGCATTCCTCCAGCCTCCCTCCCCCTTCTTTTTCACATTAGTTTTCCTCCTGAGACAAGTTGTTCTAGGCTTATCTTATATTTTCCCTGACCATTTTGCAATGAACCCTGGCTTCTCTTTAAGGAAAATGCATATTTAGAAAATAAGACCCAGGTCTTTGTGTAGAACATTTCCATCATCACAAGAAGTTTCCGGGTGTCCCCTTCCTGTCTCTGACCCCAGCCCCATGCAATCACTTACCTCCTGTCACCGTCGTTTCTGGATTTTCATATAGTTGGAATCATGTTTTATGTGCTCTTTTGTATCTGGCTTCTTTTGTTCAGCATGCTTGACACGCATCCGTATTGTGATTATCAGTAGTGTTCCATTGTTTGACTATAATGCAGTTCCCGTGTTAATGGACATTTGGATTGTTTCCGATTTGGGCTGTTGTGAATAAAGCTGCCACAAACATCTGTGTGGAAGTCTATGTGTGAACATGCGGATTTTTCATTTCTCTAGGGTAAATACCTAGGTTTGGAATTGTTGGCACATATGGTAAGTGTAAGTAAGTTTAATTTTACAAGAAATTGCCAAACCGTTTTCCAGAGTGCTTGTATTATTTTCACCATCAATACATGAGATTTCGTTTGTTCCATCTCTTAACCAACACTTGGTGTTCTTTGCATTTTTCAGCTAACCATTCTAAGTATTGGGTACTCTGATTTCATTTCGTGTTTTTCCAGGTAATAATGTTGATCTTTTTCATGTGCTTATCTGCCTTCAGGAGGTCTTTTTGAAGTTTATATTCATATTTTCCACCCATTTTGAAATAAGCTCTTTCTTTTCTTTAAGATTTATTTATTTGAAAGTCAGAGTTACACAGAGAGAGAAGGAGAGGCAGAGAAAAAGAGAGAGGTCTTTCATCCACTGGTTCATGCCCCAGATGGTTGCAATGGCTGGAGCTGTGCCAATCCGAAGCCAGGAGCCAGGAGCTTCCTCCGAGTCCCTGACGTGGGTGCAGGGGCCCAAGGACTTGGTATATCTTCTGCTGCTTTCCCAGGCCACAGCAGAGAGCTGGGTCAAAAATAGAGCAGCCAGGACTAGAACCGGCACCCATATGGGATGCCGGCACTGCAGGTGGCGACTTAACCCACTGTGCCACAAGCTGGCCCCAGTGATTCTGTACTTGTTAAGTGACTGACAGTTGTGGATTGTTAGTTGCTGCAGCATAACCTAATTTTTCTTGACTAACAAAGTGAAATTAGTTTCATGGTAAATGTTGGAACTTGGGGCTTCACACCTAAAGAATAATTGGACTGGTGCTGGCGCTGTGGCATAGTGGGTAAAGCCACCGCCTGCAGTGCCGGCATCACACATGGGCACCAGTTTGAGACCTAGCTGCTCCACTTCTGATCCAGCTCTCCGCTATGGCCTGGGAAAGCAGAAGAAGATGCCCCAAGTCCTTGGGCCTCTGCACCTGCATGGGAATACCCAGAGGAAGCTCCTGGTTCCTGGCTTTGGATTGGCGCAGCTCCAGCTGTTGTGGCCAAGTGGGGAGTAAACCAGCAGATGGAAGACCACTCTCTTTCTCTCTCTGTGTAACCCTTTCAAATAAATAAATAAATATTAAAAAAAAATTGTACCAAGGGGGTCTCTGTGAACAGAGATGCTGAAGTATTGAGTTCAATTTTAGATTGTAACCAGTCAGTAATACCAGTCTATCTGAGAGTGAAAAAATATATTTATTTTATATATTTATAAATATATTTCATATATATTTATTGGGGGCATGGCATTTGGCCTAGTGGTTAAGATGGTTTAAGTGGTTTAAGACACCTGTTTCTCAAAAAATAAATAAAAGGGGGCCAGTGTGGTACAGCAGGTTAAAGTCCTGGCCTGCAGCTCTGGCATCCCATATCGGCACCAGTTCGAGTCCTGGCTGCTCCATTTCGTATCCAGCTACCTACTAATGCACCTGGGAAAGCAGCAGAGGATGGCTCAAGTGTTTTGGCCCATAAACCCACGTGGGAGACCCAGAAGAAGCTCCTAGTTTCTGGCTTCAGCCTGGCCCAGCCTTGGTTGTTGCTGCCATGGCAGGGAATGAACCAGTGGATGGAAGATGTCTCTCTGTGTCACCACCTCTTTCTGTAACTCTGCCTTTTATATAAATAAAACTTAAAAAAAAAAAAAAAAAGACACCTGTGTCTCAGATTGTAGTACCTGAGTTGGATTTGTCACTCCAGCTTCCTGCTGTGTACAGTCTAGGAAGCTGTAGGTCATGGCTCAAGTAGTTGAGTCCCTGCCACCCACGTGAGAGACCTGGATTGAGTTCCTGGCTCCCGGCTTTGGCCTAACCTTGTCCCAGCCATTGTGGGTGTTTGGGGAGTGAACCAGTGGGTGGGAGCTCTCTCTTTCCTTCTCCTTCTCCAATTAATAAATTAAAGCAAGTAAAATACTTCTTTTCTTAACAATTTCCTTGGTATTTTACGACTGTGAAAACGTATTTACAAGCATCTCTCCATGAAAGATTTACTCCACAAACCAGTAATGATCTCCACACACGTGTGATCACATGTTCAACATAACCCTGACCTCAGTTGCCTTCCCACCCCATTTCAGCTGTCTGCGGCTGTTTGCGTTCATTCACATTCTCGGTACAGATTTACGTAATTAATCCTCTGACACTTCTTCTTCCAGCCCCCTTTAGGAGTCCTGACTCCATGCAGGGATCTCAATTCTAACTCCCTAAGTCAGCTGGGTCGTCCTTAGCTCCTGCATGCTCCATGGGTGGCAGAACTGTGACTTCTGTCTAAATCATCAAGATTGCCTCACCTTCCTATCCCACTCTGTTCCCCCCACCTCCACACAAATTTTGGAATCCACACATACAGGTTTTCCATGATACATCTTTTCCCTGAACTTTCTGAAGACACCTCATATGCATGGATTTTAAAATTTATTTACAGCAGAATAAACTTGCCTTTTATTTCCATTCTCCATGAACTTGTTGAAATCCCTTTGCAAGTACTAGCAACAGAAATCCCTACCACTACCACTCTCCAGGATATGAACTTAGGCTACAAGGATGTACAGGTTAGTCTAGCACCTGTGTGCATCTGTACCCATCTGTTTTCCTGTCTTCCTGCTGTTGAAGCCATGGTTACTGGAGATTTTGTCTTCCAGCCTGCTAGGAGACATACTGTTATCTCCCTCATTTCTGTAGCTTCAGCCTTTTCTCTACTCACTCCTTCCCACCCTGAGAAACTGAGTTTTAGGCACATTAATATATCTGCAATAGTAAGCTTATCTTTTATTTTTTAAGTTTTTATTTATTTGACAGAGCTCTCATCCATTGGTTCACCTCTCCATATCCACAAAATGGCTGCGCATTGGCCAGGCTGAGGCTGGGAGCAAGGAACTCAATCAATCCAGGTCTCTCCTGTGGGCGGCAGGTGCCCAACTACTTGAGCAACCACCACGGCCTCCCAGAATCCGTGTTAGCAGGGATCTGGAGTCAGGAGCAGAGCAGAGAATCAAACCCAGGCACTCATGTGTGAGATGGTAGCATCCTAACTGACGTCTAACCTCTCGTCTTGTAATTGGTATTTTGGGTTTTAATGTTGCAGCTCCAGAGTTGCCCAGGAAGCAGAAGGCGTCTCCTATTGCCTGTCTTACTCCTGAACATGGGCCTGATGTTGTTCCTCAAAAATCTAAAACGTTCCACAGCCCGGTTTCCCCTCTCGGCCCCAGTGAAGAGAGGGCTGGGTTTTGTTACTTCAGGCCCATTGGTGGGGATCAAAGTGGGTGATGTAGAAAATAAGACGGTGGAGAAAGGGTTGGTTCAAGGCTCGTTCTAGAAGAGATTCCTTCATGTTTGGGAGAGCAGTGAGGCCTGGTATGTACCCATTGGCCCACAGTGAGCAGACGCCTGATTGTGGAAGAGCAAGTGTGGGAAGCTGGTGAAGACGACACGTGGTCTTGAGAGCAGTACTGAGAATCTCTCTAGCAGAGCTCGAGGAAAGAGGAATACGGTTGGGATTGCCTCTCAGAGCCCCTCGGTAGTGATGGGGGCCGGCATTTGTCAGCAGGGAAGGAACAGAGAACCATGACAAGCACCGCAGACCCTCTCCACATTCTCCAAGCATATGTAACTCCCACGATTCTGGTATGACCACAGAGAATCTGGTGGGAGCAACAGGATAGGGGACCCTTTCCCTCTAAACCAGGCCAACGTGAACTTTCCGTTAACACTACCAGGTGAGGGAAGGTTGGGACCAAAAGCAAGTTAGTTGGATTTATAGAAACAAAGAGATGATTACTGAGCATCATGAAGTAATTCATACAGTTATGAATGAATACATTTTACAGTTAAAACCTGTGGGGAGTAAATGAAAACTGTGCTGCCAGTGATGCTCTGCCAAACACTTGGCTTTGAAAGTGTTGTTCTTCAGTGATTAATTATTCTCTTGCATCCCTTTTCTAATGAAGAAAAAAAATCCTGCTCTGAAATATATGGCATAGTTAATTTCCATTCTTAGTCTGGTCTCTCTGTTTTCCTTGGAAATCTGTCTTTTGATAGACGTCTCTGTGTCATGTTTCTTGTTCTGGTGAGGTCTGGCTGAGTGACGTCTATCAGTAATGTATTTAGGTATTTACTTATTTATACTTAAAAATAATTTTAAAGTTTATTTATTAGAGAGACAGACAGACAGACACCTATCTGCTGCTTCACTCTTCAAAACCCCACAACAACCAAGGCAAAACCAGAAGTCCAGAATTCACTCCAGGTCTCCCATGTGGATGGCAGAGACCCAGGTATTCCAGCCACTGCCTGCTGCTTCCCAAAGGTGGATCAGAAGCGAGTGGCTGGGACTTGAACCTGGGATGTGGGTATTCCAAGCAGTGTCTTATCCTCTGTGCCAAATGCCTGTCCCCATATGTACACGTCCATAGAACCTACTGTGCGTCTTACAGAGTTGACAAGCCTGTCGGGTCTGAGTGTAAGGATCACGTAGGCGTTCTAGCTTCTCTCTTGTCCTCCCTGTTTGAGTACTGAGAAGCCGTGCTGGACTTGGTTCTGTTCTTCCCGCACCTGCTGCCCTATTCTGCTTCTGCGTGTGAGCATCATATTCTTTCTTTCCAGAACGCTCTCCACCCCCTTTCCTCCCGAACGCCTGGCCTTAGTCACCCATTCTGACCGTGGCTTCAGCCAGCACTGCCTCCCTTGGTGTCCTTTCATCTAGGTTAGCCTCCCCTGTTTTAGATCAGTCTGTTGGCACCAAAGTACCTCTCTCGTTTGTTTTTATCTGCACTCACATTTATTCTTGTGTGTGTATGTGTATGTGTGTGTGTGTGTGTGTGTGTGTTAAGATTTATTGAGAGAGAGAGATTGATTCCATTCTCTGGTTTACTCCCCAAATGGCTGCAATGGCCAGTGCTGGACCAGGCTGAAGCCAGGAGCCAGCAGCTTCTTTCTGGTCTCTGACGTGAGTGCAGAGCCCAAGGACCTGGGCAGTCTTCCACTGCTTTTTCTTGCCATTAGCAGGGAGTTGGATCAGAAATGGAGTAGCCAAAATGCAAACTGGCTCCCATCTGGGATGCCAGCACCACAAAACCCGCTGAACCACAGTGCCGGCCCCGTACATCACATTTTCTCTTCATTGGATTGTAAGTTCTACAAGGCAGTGTCCTCTTCCTGAAGTCCTTGTCCCCAGTTCCCCTCCCAGCGTTTCTGTTGTCCACCACCTAATGCCTGCAAAACAAACTGGAGTTGTGAGTTAGTGTTGTTTTCCCTGGTATCCTCGCCTTTCAAAACTCTCAAGTGTTCAGGGACCATAAACAACAGCAGGTGTTTTCTGACTTATTAAACAAAGCTGGGGGTGCGTTGTGACCCAGCCCTGGTAGTAAGCGTGGGTCTCATTTGGGTCTCACTTCCTTCCCTGTGGTAAGTTCATTGATGAGGTGATTGGAGCTCAATCTCTGATGACTTGAGCAAAGATAATAATGTTGTTGAGAGCCTGTTATTAGTTGCTGTGGTGGGAAAAAAAACCCCTTGTGTTGAACTGCTGTTTAGGTTTTTTTGGATAGAGTATATTTTGGGACCCCATGAGTAGCTAGAGAACCTGGTCTGTTACTAGATAATGGGATCATCTAGGAATTTGGTCAGCCAATAGGATGGATTTGGATCTTGTTAGAAATGCAGATTCTCGGGCCCCACCCCAGATTTAGTGACAGAATGGGTGTTCTAACAAGATTCCTGGGTGACCAGTGTCTCCTTTAGCATTGAACAACTACTGCTTCACACAGTAGTTGAGGGGAGGGAGAGCTCTTTGTTAACATTGATTCATTCATCCACTAAATGAATAATTTTTTTAAAAATTAAAACTTTATTTATTATTTATCCGAAAGGTAGAAGTAGAAAGGGAGCAAGAGAGAGATTTCCATCTGCTTGTTCACTTCCCAAATGGCCACAGTGGCTAGGGCTGGACCGGCAGAAACCAGGAGCCAGGAGCCAGGAACTCCTGAGTCTCCCTCATGGGTGCAGGGGCCCAAGGACTTGAGCTGTCTTCTGCTGCTTTCCCAGGCGCATTAGCAGGGTGCTGACTTGGAAGTGGAACAGCCAGGAATTGAACTGGCTCCTATATGGGATGCTGGCGCTGCAGGCAGTGGCTTAACCCACTGTGCCACAATGCCAGCCCCACAGATACCTTTTACGTGTGTAGTTTTCATTAAGCATTAGTAGTATTGGTCCTAATAACAAGAAGAACATGAATAATAATGAGTCAAGCATTTCACACAGTACATTATTTTTTAAAGATTCATTTATTTATTTGAAAGAGATACACAGAGAAAGGAGAGAGAGAGAGAGAGAGAGAGAGAGAGAAAGAAAGAAAGAAAGTCTTCCATCTGATGGTTCACTCCCCAATTGGCTGCAATGGCTGGAGCTGCGCTGATCTGGAGCCAGGAACCAGGAGCTTCTTCTGAGTCTCCCATGCTGGTGCAGGGGCCCAAGGACTTGGGCCATCTTCTGCTGCTTTGCTAGGCCATAGCAGAAAGCGGGATCAGAAGTGGAGCAGCCGGGTCTTGAACTGGCACCCATATGGGATACTGGCGCTTTAGGCCAGGGTGTTAACTTGCTGCGCCACAGTGCCGACCCCAGTACATTATTTTTAATTCTCACAACCTTGAGAGGAAGATGGTATGGGTTCCATTTTACGATGCAGACACTGGAGGTTCAGTAGGGAGCCTGTGACTTCTCACAAGCATATGTGATGCTTCTAGTTCTATCCTAAGAATGGAGGGTGTGAGATCTTACACTCTGAAATCCTTGGCCAGCACAAAACTCATTTTGGGTTCATTTAAGCAAATGAAATGTAAACCTATTATTACAAAAATGGAAAGGAACAGAGGGGAGGAAGCAGAAATTCTTATGTAAAAATGTTAGTGCAGGGCCAGCGCTGTGGCCTAGCAGGTAAAGCCGCTGCTTGTAGTGCCAGCATCCTGTATGGGTGCTGGCTCTAGTCTGATCTGCTCCACTTTGGATCCAGCTCTCTGCTATGGCCTGGGAAAGCGGTAGAAGATGGCCCAAGTCCTTGTCCCCTACACCTGCATGGGAGACCCAGAAGAACTCCTAGCTCCTGGCTTTGGATAGATGCAGCTCCAGCCGTTGTAGCTATCTGGGGACTGAACCAGCGGATGGAAGACCTCTTCTCTCTCTCTCTGCGCCTCTGCCTTTCCCTCTCTGTAACACTGCCTTTCAAATAAATAAATCTTTAAAAAAGATGTTAATGCTCCTCTATCCAGATTTATTCAGTGGAATGAAATACTCATTTGTCTCACATGTTTTTGTGAGTGAGTAAAGGTAATTTGTCAAAATGCTGAGTCTGAAAGATCCTCGAGAACCTTGCATTTCTGTGTTTTGTGTCGAATCTTGATGGACCTCTGAAGCCCTATGGTAAATTCAGGTGAACAGCAGGAAAAGGAGTGATGCATCGTGGGCATGATGGTGAGCTGGCCTGCATTGTCTGAATCCCAGTGCCTGTCACTGGGCAGACAGTAAGTAGCCAGAGGACATTGTTTTGGTTGCTTCTCTGTGAAGTGAGGCAAGATGACACTTTTTATTACCAATCGCAGATCAACTTGCTTCATGTCAACAGTATCCTTCCTGGGGTCCTGCTTCGCACCTCCACCTCCTTGTTTGCTTGGAAGGGGAGGTTGCAGCTCCAGACAGCTGATGCGATGCCATGCCTTTGATGTGTACCCTGGAGTATTGGAGCAGGCCTGTTTACTGGGCAGGGAACATAGTTTTCAGGAACAGAGTCATATTTTCCAATGATGTAGATGCAAGAAAGACCATGTATGATTTTAACATACACACACACAGAAGCCCTAACAAGATTGTTTTCTTTTAAGGCTAAAGGGGAAAAAAGCCATTACAGGCCAGCGCCGCGGCTCACTAGGCTAATCCTCCGCCTTGCGGCACCGGCACACCGGGTTCTAGTCCCGGTCGGGGCGCCGGATTCTGTCCCGGTTGCCCCTCTTCCAGGCCAGCTCTCTGCTGTGGCCAGGGAGTGCAGTGGAGGATGGCCCGAGTACTTGGACCCTGCACCCCATGGGAGACCAGGATAAGTATCTGGCTCCTGGCTTCGGATCAGCACGGTGCGCCGGCTGCAGAGCACCGGCCGCGGCGGCCATTGGAGGGTGAACCAACGGCAAAGGAAGACCTTTCTCTCTGTCTCTCTCTCTGTCCACTCTGCCTGTCAAAAAAAATAAATAAATAAAATTAAAAAAAAAAAGCCATTACAAAATACTGGCCAACTCAAGCAGAGCAAGAAAGATAATTGAGGTGAAAGAATTCAAACTATCTTCTTCTTTCTCTCTCTCTCTCTCTTTTTTAAAATTTTTGTTTCTTTACTTTAAAGGCAAAGTTACAGAGAGGAAGAAGAGAGAGAGAGGGAGAGGGAGAGAAAGGGAGAGGTCTTCCATCTGCTGGTTTACTCCTCAGATGGCTGCAATGGCTGGAGCTGCATTGATCCAAAACCAAGAGCCAGGAGCTTCTTCCAGGTCTCCCACCTATGTGCGGGAGCCCAAGGACTTGGGCCATCTTCTACTGCTTTCCCAGGCCATAGCAGAGGGCTGGATCCAAGGTGGAGCAGCTGTAACTTGAACTGGAGCCAGCACTGCAAGTGGCAGCTTTACCTGTTATGCCACAGCGCCGGCCCCTCTTTTTCTTTTTTTTTTTTTAAAATACTTATTTTATTTATTTGAAAGAATGAGAGAGATAAATATCTTCTATCTGCTGACTCACTCCCCAAATGACCACAGTGGCTGTCCATGCTAAAGCCAAGAGCCTGGAACTCCCCCAGGACTCCCATGTGAGTCCTAGGGGCAAGCACTTGGGCCATCTTCTGCTGCCTTCCCTGGTGCGTTTGTAGGGAACTGGGTTGAAAGTGGAGCAGCTGGGACTTGAACAAGTGCTTTGCCATGGGATACCAGCATCACAGGCGGTGGCTTATTCCGGTGAACCACTGCCCAGGCTCCTTATGCTGTCTTAAAGCTAGGGATCTGAGATATCCCAATGTCGCTGTGTAGAATTCCCATAGTTTCCTAGCCTTCTGTTTGCAGGAGGGAAACTTGCCTTTTGCAGAAATGTGGCACACACACTCTAACATAACATGAAAGGAAACGTTTTTGTGCCAGGAAATTGCTCACATGAGATGGAACCCTTTGAAATAAATCTGCTGGCAGGCTGTCTCGGTCTGTTTTGTGTTGCTATAACAAAATATCCGAGGCGTGGTAATTCATAAGGAAGAGAAATTGATTTGACTCATTGTTCTGGAGATTGAAGAGCCTGGTGCCAGCTTCCGCTCAGCTTCAGGTGGGGTCTTCTACCACATCATGATGTGGCGAGAGAAGCTGCTGGCTGGGGTCTCTGTTCCTCCTCTTATAAAGCCACTGATGCCGTCCTGGGGCCACACCCGCATGACGTTATCCAGTCCTGCTTACCTCCCACAGGCCCTACCTCCGGATGCCATGGACACATGAGTTGGGGGGTTCTGGGGAGCACCTTCCAGCCAGAGCACAAGCTTTTCCTGAACATCTGAATGAGGACTGAAACCCTGTGACACTGTGTCCGTGGCAGCCACCCTCAGCCTTTCATGCGGAGTTGGCAGAGCCTGTCTGAAGACACAAACCGCCCTCACAGCCCCTCTTTCTGCAGCCAAATGGAGTCCAAAGACAACGAACGCCCAGCTCATTGAGAGAGCGCCCATGCTGTGCTGATGATTTGTAGATTTATGGTACATTTTAGATCTGACTGGAGATACACAGCACGTTTGGGAAAACAAAAATGAGCTGTCAGTACTTCTAGGGTGTGGTTTACCTACCAATGCTTGTCAGAGTCACGTTCAAGTTGAGAACTGGAAGGGTTGACAGTGCAACAGGGAGGGAAACCAGCTCATTTGCAAGTTTGATTTGTCTTTTTTTTTTTTTTTAAAGATTTATTTATTTATTTGAAAGTCAGAGTTACACAGAGAGAGAAGAGGCAGAGAGAGAGGTCTTCCATCCGATGGTTCACTCCCCAATTTGCCGCAACGGCCGGAGCTGGGCTGATTCGAAGCCAGGAGCCAGGAGCTTCTTCCGGGTCTCCCATGCGGGTGCAGGGGCCCAAGGACTTGGGCTGTTTTCCACTGCTTTCCCAGGCCATAGCAGAGAGCTGCATCGGAAGAGGAGCAGCCGGAACTCTAATTGCGCCCACATGGGATGCCGGTGCTTCAGGCCAGGGCGTTAACCCGCTGTGCCCCAGCGCCGGCCCCTGATTTGTCTTTCCCTATGACCAAGGACTGAACTTTCTCCCTCTTCACTTTTGGCTCTGTTCCTTTTCTAAAGCAATGACCCCATTTACAAGTAACGCTCTACTGCATTACTTATGATGTCTTGATGCTGCTGTGTGGCCTTCTACTGCCTAAGCCTCGTAAAACTCATCCTTTGTATTTGAAAGTTTATTTTCTCACCTCGTGAGTACTCCCCTTAAACACGGAAACGGAAACGTGCCGTTCCCATCTCAGCCCTGCTTGCCTGATGTTCCCTATCTTCCAGGAGCCGCTGCCCCTGCATTCTTGGCCCAGTTTGAGGCTGTTCTCCATGGGGAGTCCCGGCTGCCTGTTGTTGGGAGGCCCCTTTGACCTTGACCTCTGGAGAGAACTCAGCCAAGAAATTAAACGGGGTCAAGCTTCTGAGCAGTGTCCAAAACACAACAGTGGGGCTTCTGTCATCCTGAATAAAGACCAAAAAAGCTCCTAAAATCTACTACCCCCTTTGACACAAGTCTTATAGGAAATAATGGGCTGTTGCTATTTTTCCCTTCATTTTTGCAAGTAATATCCTAGGGTGGAGAAAGTTACTTTGTTCATACAGAAAGTGCTGGCCATCATCCATCCTTGTTCCTCCTTCCCTCCCTCCTTCCTTCCCTCCCTCCTTCCTTCCCCCCCTCCCTGCATCCATCCATCCTGAATGGGATGTTGATGTCATTGCAGGCAGTGGCTCAACCCCTGGTGCTGCAAACACTGGCTCCTAGGATTCACTTTTTAAAAAGGGTTGCAGGGGCCAGCGCTGTGGCTCAGCAGATTAAGCCGCTGCCTGCAATGCAGGCATCCCATATGAATGCCAGTTCCAGTCCGGGCTGCTCCACTCCTGCTAGTGCACCTGGGAAAGCAGCACAAGATGACCCAAGTGCTTGGGTCCCTGCACACGTGTAGGAGACCCGGATGAAGCTCCTGGCTCCTGGCTTTGAATCAGCTCAGTTTTGGCAGTTGTGGCCACAAAGGATGGAAGATTGATCTGTCTCTCTCTGTAGCTCTGCCTCTCAAATAAAGGAAGAAATTTTAAAAAAGTTGCTCACTGGAGTTGCGAGGAAGCTTGAGTCATCCCTGTGGCTGGTGCTGCGTTGGAAGTGTCACTGCCTGTTAGGGGTGCCCTTCGCAGACCTCTTGCTTGTGGTGTGTTCTGTCAGACATTCCCTCATCATTTCAAGAGCAAAACCAGCATTATTTTGTATTTTGAGTCTGAACCTGGTTTCAGTTTTATTGCTGACACTTTCTGGGCTGTTGTACACAATAATGTGGAGACCGTGCACTGCCAAAATGAGCTCATTCAGTTAATAGAAAACAGCATCGGCGCTACCTGGGACAACTAAATTACATTGGAGAGATGTCTAATTAATGAGTTCCTTTAATCAAAAATGTTATTTATAGTTTTGTTTGAGATAGGTGTATTGGAACCTTGTCGAGACAATTAAAAGTGCCATGGTAAAAGCATACCCCTTATGGAAATTACTGCTCTTATCATTATAAATAACTCTGAAAAGAGCCCAGTTTAAGGGCAAAGCCTTACTAAATTTAACAGTTACTGAGTTTTTATAGTAAAACAGCTTATTCTGGTTTTTTTTTCTTTTTTTAAATTTTTTTTTGACAGGCAGAGTTAGAGAGAGAGACAGAGAGAAAGGTCTTCCTTCCGTTGGTTCACCCCCAAAATGGTCGCCATGGCTGGTGCACTGCGCCGATCCGAAGCCAGGAGCCAAGTGCTTCTCCTGGTCTCCCATGCGGTTGCAGGGCCCAAGCACTTGGGCCATCCTCCACTGCCTTCCCGGGCCACAGCAGAGAGCTGGCCTGGAAAAGGAGCAACCGGGGCAGAACTGGCGCCCCAACTGGGACAAGAACCCGGTGTGCCAGCGCCACAGGTGGAGGATTAGCCTAGAGAGCCGCAGCGCCAGCTTTCTTTTTCTTCTTTCTTCTTTCTTTCTTTTTCTTTTTCTCTTTCAATATATTTGAAAGGCAGAGTGACAGGGAGACAGAGAATTTCCATTCACTGGCTCACTCCCCAAATTCCCATAATGTCTGGGGCTTCAGCAGACCGAAGCCAGGAGCCCAGAACTCCATTCAGGCTACTCACACATGGATGGCAGGCATCATCTGTCTCCCAGGGTGTGCATTAGCAGGAAGCTGGATCGGAATCAGGGGTGGGACTGCACCCTAGGTACTCTGATACAGGAAATGGGCATTCTGAACATTGGCTTAACCCGTTGTGCCTCAACGCCCACTCCCTTCTGGTTTCATTTGACATAGCCATACAAATACCTTATCTTCAAATGTCAGACCCTTCAGTCTGAAAATACTTGTTCTGGAACTCTCCACCCTTAGTGATAAAATAACTGGCAAGTCCACAGTTTAAAGACTACGCAGGGCCGGCGCCGTGGCTCACTTGGTTGATCCTCCGCCTGCGGCGCCGGCATCTCATATGGGTGCCATTTTTAGTCCCGGTTACTCCTCTTTCAGTCCAGCTCTCTGCTGTGGCCCGGAAGGGCAGTGGAAGATGCACCTGCATGGGAGACCAGGAGAAGCACCTGGCTCCTGGCTTCGGATTGGCACAGCTCCAGCCATGGCGGCCATTTGAGGAGTGAACCAACAGAAGGAAGACCTTTCTCTGTCTCTCACTGTCCATAACTCTGCCTGTCAAATAAATTTAAAATAAAAAAAAAAAAGACTATGTCAAATTAGGAGCAGGTGTTGTGCAGTGAGTTAAGTTACCACTTGTGATGCCAGTATCCCATATTAGAGTGGTGGTTCCAGCCCTGGCTGCTCCGTTTCTAACCCAGCTCCAGCTGATGCACCACGGGAAGGCAGTGGAAGATGGCTCCAGTGCTTGGGCCCTGCCACCTGTGTGGGAGACACAGATGGAGTTCTGAGCCGCTGGCTTCTTCCTGGACCAGCCCTGGCAACTTAGCCCATTTGGGAAGTGAACCAGTGGGCGGAAGATCTCTTATCTCTTTCTGCCTCTTCCTCTCTCTCCATCATTCTGCCTTTCAAGTAAGATAAATATATCTTAAAAATAAGTAAGTAAATAAATTGGACAATTTTTTGGACTTTATCATATCTCAAAATGCTGCCTAGACAGCTATTTAGCCCCAATGTAATTACCATGAGTGTGTTACAGCAGCTACTTTCATCTAACTCTTTTCCTATGATCAACATAGACATGGCTACAGTATCTACAAGTTATTCAATGGCATGTTAAAACAGAATTTAAAAACCCGATTCTTTTCCTCCTGTTGTGTTTTATATAACAAATCTTTGTCTTCATTTGTGTAGTCAAGCCAAAGATGGGCATCAGCAAATCCGCATTTTTTTTTTTTTTTTTTTTTGACAGGCAGAGTTAGACAGTGAGAGAGAGAGACAGGTTCAGCCCCTAAATGGCTGCTACGGCTGGAGCACTGCGCTGATCTGAAGCCAGGAGCCAGGTGCTTCCTCCTGGTCTCCCATGTGGGTGCAGGGCCCAAGCACTTGGGCCATCCTCCACTGCACTCCTGGGCCACAGCAGAGAGCTGGCCTGGAAGAGGAACAACCGGGACAGAACTGGCGCCCCGACCAGGACTAGAACCCGGGGTGCCGGCGCCACAGGCGAAGGATTAGCCTAGTGAGCCGTGGTGCCGGCTGCAAATCCACATTTCTATCCAGCTGAATTACAAAATGTAATCTTTACAGTAATTAACCCGCTATGTGTAGGTTTGGATAGCATCAGTGCTACTGACCAGCCTTTTGGTCCCAGTGATCTCTGGGGATGTGTGGGGATGGTTTTGGTTGTCTCGGTACCTGAAGGTGCAGCAGGGTTTTCATTTCCTGGAGTTGGAGATGCTGAGTGCCTTGCAGTTGTCCTTATATACCAACTTGGACTTTGTCAGCTGAGGAGAGTATAATGATGTTTTTGTAAACGGCTGCTCAGACTTGAACATGCCCTTTTAAAAAGATGTAGGGGCCAGCGTTGTGGCACAGTGGTCTAAGCTACTTGTGATGTGCACATACCATTTGGGAGTGCCAGGTCAAATCCTGACTGCTCCACTTCCAATGCAACTTCCAGTTACTATGCCTGGGAAAGCAGTAGAGGATGGACCAAGTACATGGGCCCCTGCTGCCCACGTGGGGCACCTGGATGGGTCTCCTGGGTCTCCACTGGCTGCAGCCTAGCCTGGCCCAGCCCTAGCTGTTGTGGCCATTTGGGGAGTGAACCAGTGGATGGAAGATGTCCCTCTTTGTCTCTCTCTGTCACTTTAACTTCCAAACAAATAAATGAATCATTGGAAGCTGGGTGGGAATTGGGAAGCTGCGACGGGAACCCAGGCTTCTGATGTGGGATGCAGGTGTTCCAGGTGGCATCTTAGCTGCGGTGCCACAAGGTCACCCCTGACTGCAGTCTGGTGGAATTTGTTTTTTCCTCACTTGTAACTTGTTTTTAGAAGATGCCGTTAAAGAACCTTCCTTCTCAGATTTAAATTTTGTTCCTGTGAGGTTTTTGTTTTTGACACTAAGTAGTTCAATTTGGCAGGGAGATCTGAGTTCCTTACTTTTGGGCTCTCTCTGTTTCATTTCCAAATCATGTAATTTGGCAGAACTATGGATCCGTCTTGTTAGATTTCACCAGCTTGACGTTCACATTGGTTTCAGCCACACAATAGGCAGACTGGGTGGTGGATAGTCCTGGTGCTTTCCTGCCTTCAGAGGGTACCGTGAACGTTGCAGGCACTTGCTTTCTCTCCTTTGCCTTTCTTAGTGTCCTGTAGTTTGCCATCAGTTGGATATCAGAATGGCAAATTGGTTCTCTGCATCACAGTCTGCTTTCCTTATCATCCCATTTTATCATATTTAATTTTTTAACCATTTAAGCCATCATTTCTGGCTTTACAGCTAATTATTTTGCTAGATTTTTTTTTGTTGAAGCAAGAAGTATCTAGAAGTTAGAATAAGCCTTAAGCTTAAATAATCATTACAACGTGTGTAACTTGTTTTTTTTCTTTTTGTTTATTTTTGAATAACACATAATACTTGTACTTTTTAATGGAATTCATTGCAGTACTTTAACACACATACATGGCATGAATTGATCAAAACAGCTACCTGGGGCCAGTGCTGTGGCATAGCGGGTGAAGCCGCCGCCGGCAGTGCTGGCATCCCATAGGGCACAGGTTCGAGTCCCAGTTGCTCCATTTCTGATCCATCTCCCTGCTAATGCACCTTGGAAAGCAGTTGAAGATGGCACAAATGCTTGGGCCCTTGCACCCACTTGGGAGACCTGGATGAAGCTCCTGTTTTCTGGCTTTGGCCTGGCCCAGCCCTGGCTGTTGGTGGCCATTTGGGGAGTGCATCAGCAGATGAAATATCTCTGTCTCCCTCTCTCTGTAGCTCTGCCTTTCAAACAAATAAATAAATCTTTAGGAAAAAAAACCCAAACAGGTACGTGACATTTCTATTTCCTAGTCATTTCTTTATGTTTGGAGCTAAAAGCTCCCCTCAGAATATGTATAACTTGTTCACTTAGCACTGTTCAGCCTGCCAGGGCTTTGTGACAGGAGCATACTCTGAGCAGAAGCACTTGGGCCTCACCTGGCATTTGGTGCATTTTGTTCGTGTGTGCTTTGGTAAGTCTAATCCCTCTGTAATTTTCTAGGAGAGACCACATGCAAGTCCGAATTTAAAAAGACTTATGCATAATTACTACCTATTCAGTGCCATATGTATGTGCGTATGTGTCTATGTCAGAGATGACTAGAACAGTTCTGTTTCAAAGCCTGCCCAACCACAAAGAAACCTGCATGGAAGTTAATGGGTTGGTGGTCTCCGACGTGTGCCAAGGTGGTGACTTTAATGACATTTTCAGAAGAGTTTAAATATATCATGGCTGCTTTCCTACCAGTTTGAGCTTTCAACCTGCCTGCTGCTAGACATCTTGGGCTAATCCATCACATTTGTTTGCTTAGATTGCTGTGTCAGTTCCAGTGCAGACCTGGCTCCTTCTGTACCTACATGGGGTCCACGGAAATTTCTGGAACTCCTCCATCCCTGCAGGAGCTGTGGGGAAAGATAGCGCTGTCTCTAGCTCTTGTCTGGTGTGTGCAGTGGACTTCTCCACTCTCTTGCTACCTTATGATTCAGAGTGCTTTGTATCACTTGACTTTCAAAATACTCTAAATTTGAAGCTGGATACAGGTTCTCTTGACTTGGCATTTCCTAGTGAATGGCTTTCCCATGTAGTATTCCCTTCCACAGTGCAAGCCCCTAAGTTATTTCCTTCTTTGAAGCTCTTCCGTGTCTTCTCTCACAGAGAGCTGATTCTTTCCCTTCTTCCCCCTGTACCCTTCTCCTTTGGATCTTCTAAGGAGAGGGATGTGAGAGCTGGAAGAAAATCTGTTCTAGTTTGTATCTATTTTGTTTGCAGTATTTCATTGTCTTATCTGGAGAGGAGGGGAAACAATTTCTTTTTGACTTTAAAAAATTTGATTTTATTTATTTGAGAGGCAGTTTATTTGTTTGAAACAGAGAGAGAGAGAACGAGAGAGCAGGCAATCTTCCATCTGCTGGTTCTCTCATAGATGGCTACAACAGCCAGGGCTGGGCCAGGCTGAAGCCAGGAGCTTCATCCAGGGCTCTCATGTAGGTGGCAGGAGCCCAAGAACATGTGCCATCTTCCACTGCAATTCCCAGGCCATTAGCAGAGAGTTGGATCAGTGAGTACACAAACTAGTGCCCGTTTGGGAGACGGACGTCACAGGCAGCGGCTTTATCTGCTACGCCACAATGCTGGCTCCAAGAGGCAGATATTTTTGAGTAGATTTTTAAATCTAAACATGAGATGCCTGAACAATAGTCAGCTCTGTAAAAATTTCAATGAAATAATCTATAAGAAAGACGAGTTTTTCAATGTTAGAGTGAAATGATGTGAGAAGGCAGTTTTGGCTCTGGTCCCAGGACTGGGAACTACAGTTCTTAAAAGTCCACACATTGTAAAGAGGTCTGCTGAACTCACTTGTCATATTGAATTACTTTCAGAGATTTTTGTAGTAAGGAGTTTTTAAAATTTCTCCCCAGCCTTCTTGTCACAGGGACAGAACCAAAGTATATTACTGTTGTCCACAGCTTTAAATTACTCTAAACCTCAACTAAGTTCAAGTTATTATTTTTTTTTTTGGTGTATAATGTCTGATTTATATATAATGTCTGACACTCAATCGCAGAGAACTGATAGACACCCAGGAGGCGGGACAATGTGACTGAAACCAAGAGAAGCAATAAATTGCAACACGCAGCTCACAGGGAATACATGTAGTAGAGTTAATATAAATTTCAAAATAACAGTGTTAATTATGCATAAGCAAGTGAAAGATCAAGAATTTTGGAGGTGGGGGATGATGTTTTGTATAGTGTAAGAAACTGCTTGGGACTCCTGCATCCCTTATCAGAGTGCCTGTTTCGAGTCCCAGCTCTACTTCCAATTCCAGCTTCCTGCTAATGTGTACCCTGGATGGCAGCAGGTGATGGCCCAAGTACTTGGATTCTTTTTTTTTTTTAATATTTATTTGACAGAGTTATAGACAGTGAGAGAGAGAGAGAGAGAGAAAGGTCTTCCGTTGGTTCAGCCCCCAAATGGCCGCTACGGCCAGCACTGTGGCAATCTGAAGCCGGGAGCCAGGTGATTCTTCCTGGTCTCCCATGTGGGTGCAGGGGCCCAAGCACCTGGGCCATCCTCCACTGCCCTTCCGGGCCACAGCAGAAAGCTGGACTGGAAGAGGAGCAACCAGGACTAGAACCCAGTGCCCATATAGGATGCCAGCACCGCAGGTGGAGGATTAACCAAGTGAGCCATGGTGCCAGCCCAGTACTTGGATTCTTGCCACCTATGTGGGAGACCTGGATGGAGTTCTTGGCTCCTGGCTTCAGCATGCCCCAGTCCTTGCTGTTGCAGGCATTTGCAGAGGGAGACAGACTGATGGAAGATCTCTCTCTCTCTCCCCCTTTCATATAAATAATAAATAAAAAATTTGAAAAAGAAAAGAAACCCAGGAACCATGCCACAGGGAGCCCAGAGCACATGGAGAGGACAACATGAGAATCAAAGTCAACAAACCCAGCTGAATTCGAGGCCCACAATCCAGTACTGAGAGAAAACATATTCAATAGTTGAGCCCATTCCAACTTTTAATACCAGCCTCACAGGGAGTAGAAGAATCACCTGGATCATCTGAGTCAAGCCAAAGAGTCAGGTAATAAAATGTTTTTATTTTGATTCACTAAGTTGTGAAGTGTTTTTTTAAATGCTGGAATAAATAACAAATCTCAGATGACAAAGGATATGAGCATAGTACTTGATTTTAATTTAGAAAATGAAGTCAAGTCATAATCGGAAACAATATAAAGATATATCTTTTATTTTTAAAGATTTATTTGAAAGGCAGAGTTAGAGAGAGAGGTCTTCCATCTGCTGGTTCACTCCCCAGTTGGCCGCAATGGCCTGAGCTGGGCCAGTCCGAAGCCAGGAGCTCATTCAGGGTCTCCCACACAGGTGCAGGGGCCCAAGGACTTGGGTCATCTTCCACTGCTATCCCAGGCCATAGCAGAGAGCTGGATCAGAAGTGGAGCAGCCGGAACTTGAATTGCACCCATATGGAATGCCGGCACTGCAGGTGGTGGCTTTACCCACTACACCACAGTACCGACCCCTCAGAATTTATCTTGAGCATGGTATCAAACCTACCTTTTTCTTTTTGAAAAAGTAGAGTGGTAATTTTATGGAAGCTGATGTAGAGTTGTGGAGAAGACATTTCTGTGACCGGTACGTATGAAAGACTGATAACCCTTGGGCTGGCTCTGTGGCACAGTAGGCTAGGCCTCTGCCTTTGGTGCCGGAATCCCATATGGGCACTGGTTCTCGTCCTGGATGCTCCTTTTCTGATCCGGCACTCTGATGTGGCCTAGGAAGGCAGTGGAGGATGGCCTGAGTGCTTGGGCCTGTGTACCAACATGAGACCTGGAAGAAGCTCCTGGCTCCTGGCTCCTGGCTTCAGATCGGCCATTTCAGCCATGTGGGGAGTGAACCAGTAGATGGAAGAAACTCTCTGTCTTTCCCTCTCTTTTTTTGTGAATTTGCCTCTCAAGTAAATAAATAAAATCTTAAAAAAAAAGGAATGTCTCCTCAAATAAAACTTCAGAACAGAAAATACTGATGGAAGAGGAAAAAGTGTTCATTTAAAAAAAAATTTTTTTTGACAGGCAGAATGGACAGTGAGAGAGAGAGACAGAGAGAAAGGTCTTCCTTTGTCGTTGGTTCACCCTCCAATGGCCGCTGCGGCCGGCGCACTGCGGCCGGCGCACCGCGCTGATCCGATGGCAGGAGCCAGGTGCTTCTCCTGGTCGCCCATGGGGTGCAGGGCCGAAGTACTTGGGCCATCCTCCACTGCACTCCTGGGCCAAGCAAGGAGCTGGCCTGGAAGAGGGGCAACCGGGACAGATTCGGCGCCCCGATTGGGACTAGAACCCGGTGTGCCAGCGCCACAAGACGGAGGATTAGCCTAGTGAGCCGTGGCGCCGGCCTAAAAAAAATTTTTTTTTAAAAAAGGATTTATTTATACATCTGGAAGTCAAAGTTACAGAGAGAGAGAGGGACACACACACACACACACACATACACACACACAGAGAAATCTTCCATCTGCTGGTATACTCCCCACATGGCCACAAAGGCTGGGGCTGGGCCAGGCTGAAGCAAGGAGCCAGGAGCTTACTCCAGGTCTCCATGTGGGTGGCAGGGGCCAAAGCACTCAGGGCATCCTGTGCTGCCTCTCACAGGTGATTAGCAGGGAGCCATTTAGGGGCTGAACCAACGGAAGGAAGACCTTTCTCTCTCTCTCTCTCTCTCTCTCACTAACTATGCCTGTCAAAAAGCAAAACAAAACAAACAAAAACAAAAAACCACCACAACAAAAACTCTTTAGATGTGAGCAGTGGTCCAGTCTGAGCAACCCAAAATGGAAGTCTCCAGAAAAATCATTCTGTTACCATTTGAATTGTCCTGAAGCAAGCACTCTTCTCCAAAGGGTTCTGGTGATAGCTTCTCCAGCAGGTTTACAAGTATGACTTCTTCTGCCCCTCTTCAATTGCTCTGGTAATGATTCTGTTCCTTAGAAGCAAAACTCATGGGATTTATGTCCTTTTATTTTTATTTATTTTTAAAAGATGTATTTATTTATGTGAAAGTCAGGGTTACAGAGAGAGGGAGAGAGGGGGAGAGAGAGATAGAGAGAGAGATCTTCTGTCTGCTGGTTCATTCCCTCAAATGGTCATAATGGACAGGGCTGGGCCAGGAAGAAGCCAGGAGCCTGGAACTCCATCTGAGTCTCCCATGTGGGTGCAGGAGCCCAAGCATTTGGTCCATGTTCTGCTTTCCCAGGTGCATTAGCAGGGGGCTGGATCAGAAGTGGAGCAGCCAGGTCTCGAACCAGCACAAATATGGGATGCCGGCATTGCAGGTGGAGGCTTAACCCACTGTGCCACAGCACCAGGAGCCATCCTCTGCTGCCTCTCAGGTTGCATTTTAGCAGGAAGCTGCGTGGGAAGTGGAGGAGTGAGGACTGCAGCTCGGTGCTCTGATGGGGGAGGTGGGCATCCCAAGTGCTGACTTCACCATGGTACCAGATGCTCATCCAGGCTTCTTATCTCTTTAAAGTAATTTAAAAATAGTTACATGTTAAAATATGTGAAGGGAATTCATTTGGCAGCAAAAATTTTATTTTACACGTTGATCAAATTAGGCCTAAAAAGAGAAAGTGGCCTTTCCACTGTCATACCATTGCAGCTTCTTAACAAAACGTGACAAAATTCTATAATCTCAAGTTTAAGGGACACCATGTGTCTCACAGAAATATTCAACTTACTTGCTGAATGTTGCCTGTGAAGTTTAGTGGAAAAAGATAAATCCTTACAGGATGATATGTCTATATTTTTTTTTAAATTTTTATTTTATTTTATTTTATTTATTTATTTATTTATTTATTTATTTTTATTTTTGACAGGCAGAGTGGACAGTGAGAGAGAGAGACAGAGAGAGAAAGGTCTTCCTTTGCCGTTGGTTCACCCTCCAATGGCCACCGCTGCAGCCGGCGCACCGCGCTGATCCGATGGCAGGAGCCAGGATCCAGGTGCTTTTCCTGGTCTCCCATGGGGTGCAGGGCCCAAGCACCTGGGCCATCCTCCACTGCACTCCCTGGCCATAGCAGAGAGCTGGCCTGGAAGAGGGGCAACCGGGACAGAATCCGGTGCCCCGACCGGGACTAGAACCCGGTGTGCCGGCGCCGCAAGGTGGAGGATTAGCCTATTGAGCCACGGCGCCGGCCTGATATGTCTATATTTTGGAAACTATATGACTTATTAGCATCAAAGTAAAAGGGACTGAAGTTTGAGAAATGGTATTTTTTGGCTTTGGTCATTTGCCTTGGGGGAAAAATAAGTATTTGTGGTTGATTTTTTTTTTGACAGGCAGAGTGGACAGTGAGAGAGAGAGACAGAGAGAAAGGTCTTCCTTTGCTGTTGGTTCACCCTCCAGTGGCCGCCGCGGCCGACGCACTGCGCTGATCCAATGGCAGGAGCCAGGTACTTCTCCTGGTCTCCCATGGGGTGCAGGGCCCAAGCACTTGGGCCATCCTCCACTGCACTCCCAGGCCACAGCAGAGAGCTGGCCTGGAAGAGGGGCAACCGGGACAGAATCCAGTTTCCCAACCGGGACTAGAACCCGGTGTGCCGGCCCCGCAAGGCGGAAGATTAGCCTAGTGAGCTGCGGCGCCGGCCCGGTTGATTTCTAATTAAGCCTAAACTATTAGGTAGTCTGCAAAGGCCTCCTCCTTGATTCTCTCTTAGCCTTTGAGAATTATATTCCAGAAGTTTTGTTTTTCCTTGTTTATGGGTTTAGAAACTCTTTTCACATGAGATCTACTTATATAACCCTTGTTCTGATTCATAAAAAGCCCATAAACTTGAAAATAGGACATTTCCTTTTACAATGTGTCACAACATTGTTTATCACCATGAAATGAGGACATGGTTTTCCAACTGTAACCATGGGAAGCTGAATTCTGTTTTCTATCAGCAAAACATGAGAATGCCTAATAAACAAGGCATTTGGGCACAGAACACAACATCTTACAATTCAGCATTCCTATGAATTAGAAGATCAATCTGATGTTTGCGTAATCTTTTCTCTGAAATATATGTGGATTAAACAGGGAAAATGTTAAATTAAAATGCATTTTCTGTGTTGTTAACTATTTGGACAGCTATTTAAGATGCTATCATTTCTGCTGATCCCATGGAATTTTTTTGGTTCTTATCAGGAAGAAATGTCTCCTTTAATTATGTTTTATTTTAAAATGTCTCTTATGAGGCAGAGAGAAAGAGAGAGAGAGAGAAAGAGACAGGCAGCTCCTATCTCCCCATTCTCTGATTCACCCCCAAAATGCCCACAATGGCAGAGGCTGAACCATGGTTGAAGCCAGGAGCCAGGAACACAATCCAGGTCTCCTACATGTCTGACAGGGGAACAAGTACTTGGGCTATGCCTGCTACCTCCTAGGGGTATTGGTGAGGAACTGGAATCAGGGGCCAGAGCAGGCATCAAATCCAGGCACTTCAGCATAGCATATGGGAGTCTTAACTCGCAGGCTAAATGCCATCCCTTCAATGATCTTGAAAGTATTTATTAGTGAGGCTAGCATTGTGGCATAGTGGATAAAGCCACTGCCTGCAAACCAGCATCCTATATGGGTTCTGGGTTGAGTTCTGGCTCCTCTACTTTTGATCCAGCTCCCTACTAATGTGCCTAGGAAAGCAGTAGAAGATGGCCCAAATTCTTGGGCCCCTGCACCCATATGGGAGACCAGGAAGAAGCTCCTGGCTCCTGCCTTCAGCCTGACCCAGCCCCAGTTGTGGTCATCTGGGGAGAGAACCAGCGGATGGAAGACCTGTCTCTTTCTCTCTATAACTCTGCCTTTCAAATAAGTAAAACAAATTTTTTCTTTAAAAAAGTATTCATTAATATCAAAGTAACTTTTTTTTTGGAAAAGCAGTCACTCTCTATTTCCCATTCTCCTGTTTCTGGCAACCACTAATCTACATTCTTCTTTGTTTCTCTTTCTTCTTTTCTTTCATTTTTATTTACTTAAAAAGCGGAGTTACAGAGAAGGAGAGACAGAGAGGTCTTCTATCCACTAGTTCACTCCCTAACTGGCTGTAATGACCAGCACTGTGCCAGGATGAAGCCAGGAACACAGAGCTTCATCCTGGTCTCCCATGTGGGTGGTAAGAGTCCCAGCATTTGGGTTATCTTCCACTGTTTTTCCCAGGCCATCAGCAGGGAGCTGGATTAGAAGTGGAGCAGCTAGAATTTGAACTGGTACCCATATGGGATGCCAGTGTTTCAGGCAGTGGTATTACCAAGGAAAGCCCCCAAAGTAACTATCTTAATGGAAGCTTTGTTAAAATGTCCTTAAAGAAGTTATTCAAGGAACTCCTGGCTCCTGGCTCCTGGCTTTGGATTGGCTTAGCTCCAGCCATTGTGGACATTTGGGGAGTGAAGAAACAGATGGAAGACCTCTAGTTCTCTGCCTCTGCCTCTCTGTAACTCTGCTTTTCAAATAAATAAATCTTTAAAAAAGAGAAGTTATTCAATATTTGTAAGCCTTAATATTTCCATTTCTATGCTCTCTTCCAAGTGTAGATATTTCTTTTATATAAACTTAATGTTTATTGATAAAAAATTTGTTTTTTAATTTTTTGCTTAAAATTCTTTTCTTTATATGCATACATTTTTAAAAAACTACTATTCCTGGGGCTGGTGTTGTGGTGTTGGCATTCCATGTGAGCGCCAGTTTGAGTCTTGGCTGTTTCATTTCCACCCCAACTCCCTGCTAATGTGTCTGGGAAGGCAGCAGAAGATGGCCCAAGTACTTGAGTCACTGCTACACGCATGGGAGACCAAAATGAAGCTCTCGGCTTTGGCCTGGCTCAGTCCTGGCTGTTGTAGCCATTTGGGGGATGATCTCTCCTCCTCTGTCTCCCGCTTCACTGTCTGTAACTTTGCCTTTCAAATAAATAAATTGTCTTAAAAAATCATTTCTGGTTGCAAAATAGTTTGTTAAATTAGCAAACTATGAATTGCTTAATTTCTCCCCCTTTTGATGTAGACTTATTTCTATAATAAGATGTTAAGATAATCTCTCTAAACATTGCTTATTTATTCGTTGGAATTACATTTACGGAACAAATTATCAGACTTGATTATTGGAGGAAATGTCTGAAATTTTTGTGCCTCACTATTGCCAAATCGCTTCAAAAATCCGGTGTGTAGTACCCCCAGGAAAAGGTGCTCATGCCAGCTTCTTCAAAGGGAAGTTAAATGTTTAGTTTTTGCTTATATTATTCTTAGTTTGCTTTTAGCAAAAACTCTTAGGTTAGTATTTGCCATATTTAAGATTTATCTATTCATTTGAAAGGCACAGTGACAGCGAGAGACAGAGACAGTGATGGAGAGACAGAGAGAGAGGTCCTGCATCTGCTGGTTCACTCCCCAAATGGCAAGTACTCTAAAGGTTGTGATGGCCACTTCTCAAGCAGGTTTACAAACATGACTTCATCTGCTCCTCTTCAGTTTCTCTGATAACTGTCTTATTCCTTACAAACAAAATTCACAGGATTTATCATCTTTTATTTATTTTTTCAAGATTTATTTATTTATTTGAAAGTCTGCGTTCCAGAGAAGGGGGAGGGGAGGGAGAAGGGGGAGGCGTGGAGGGAGACAGAGGGAATTTTCTGTTCCCTGATTTACTAGCTTAATTGGCTGCAATGGTAGGACTGGGCCAGACTGAATTCTATCAGGTCTCCCACGAGGGTGCAGGGTCCAAGCACTTGGGCCACCTTCCACTGCTTTCCCAGGTGCATCAGCAGGGACCTGGAGCAGCACTGAGGCAGCCAGGACTGCAAATGTTGGGCATCGGAACTTGAACCATTGTGCATATGAGATGCTGATCTCACAGGAGGTGGCCTAATCTTCTGTGCCACAATGTTGGCCCCTGAAGAATTTTTTCCCTAGCAGTCTAGACAATGAAAATGAAAATATGGGTGTTTAATTGTAGCTTTTAGAATTTCATTATAAAATCCTATGAAAAGGTCATTGCAGAATTTAATATAGCCATATGGTGTTACTGTGCTGTGGCTTGTGGGTGGTGAGGAAAGAATGGGAAATAAAATACGTATCTTTGCCCTTAAGCTGTGTACTGTTGAATGCGTGTTATCAGTTATGAAATATTTCAGCAAACCCAAAATGCATTATTTTATGCATACTATTTAGAAAGGAGTTAAAATCAGACAGAGTCTGTCAGAGTTCCCAAGTCTGTCCATTTCAAGAGTTTGGCATGTTCGCCTTGCTTGTCTTCCCTCTTCTTTCCACAGAGAGAATGGGAGAAATCTTGAGACGCAGAAAAATGATTTTTTTCCAATTCCATCTAATAAACAATCCCTTTCCCAGTGACCAATCCGTATCCGACATAGAATCTCCATATATAAATGGACCTGTCTCTGGCAGATCACCATGTATAACACGAGGCCTCCAACTTTCCCACAGTTTCCATGACAGCTGCAACCATCGGTAAAGAAGACAAAGAAGGAATGGTGGAGAAAGCCCACACCCTGTCAACAGCCTGAGCTGGGGCCCGTGGCGCTGCGACTGGGAAACTCATCAGGTGAGCCCGCATAGGGTTCAGCGTCTGGTGGATCGGGCCCGTGGGACTTCGTAAAGCTGAGCGCCAAGGGTTGGAGAATGCGGCAAAGTGGGATCGTATTCCGTGCTAGTCAGTTAAAGGAGAAAAACCACGCTGGGGAAAACCGAGAAGGCAGTGGATGGGTTACACAGAAACTTCTGGGATATTCCGAGAATGTTATGGGTTAAGGGGATTTTGTGAACTTTTGCTTGGGCAGCTAGTGATTATTCCTATGAGAAAATGGATCCCAGGGTCCGACTCAGGATATCTGGAACATGTCTATCTCCCTTGGTCACAATTCCAGTAGGATTCACAGTAAATTCACTCTCTCTTTCCTCTGATCTCAGAGATAGTGCTAGGCCCTCTCTAAGCTGAGGTTCCACAGAAAGAAATAAGAACAAGCCTGTGCCAGAACATGTGGTGGATTAGAGTGTTGATTTTTATCCCCATGGAGAAAAGGATTTTACAAAAGTGAGAGTAAGATCTCTGGTGCCAGGGTCATATCCATACATATCTTTATGGGAAGCAGAAAAAAAAAAAGTCTGAAAATAGTGGGAACAGAGCCCAGAGTCTGAGACTTGGTGGGAAAGCAGGCCAGAGCTGCCCTCTGCGCATGAGCCTTGACTTCCTCCTGTGCTTGTCTGGTGTGCGAATGCCTGATAATATCCCCACAGCCTGGACTCTCTTCCAAGCTCGCCTGGCATGAGACACAACGCTGACGGAGTGTCCCACTGCCTTTCTGTTCTGGGGATGGGTGGGACTGACCTGATGCTCAGGCATTCTCTGTGAGCTCAAGGAATGAGTGGGGCTAAGCTCGGACAGCAATGGACAAGTCATATCTGTGCAGTTAGAGGACATTGCTTTTCACTGATTTAACCGGTTACAACATGAGACTAAATATTCGATCTGTCTGTACAGATCTGGTTCAGAAACATCTGAAAATGTACTGTAAGTGGCTAAACAGTTCTCTATGGCTGTTGCCAGAGGCAATAATTTTGTGCTGGAAATATAAATATGTAAGTATACCAGGGAACTTTAACACGTCCGTGCAAAATGGAATTAATTTAAAAAGATAAGTTTATTTTGATGCAAAAAATTGAGTTCATGGATTTCAACTTTTTTTTTCTGCATCAAAAAAAAAACTTTTAATTTCATTTTCCAGGAAATACATAGAAATGAAAGTATTAGGTGCTGTAGAAAAGCAGAAAGATAACGTATCCATTGCTATTCTCTCTTTCTCTTCTCCAATTTTCTCTTTTTAAAAAAATAATTTAACAGACACGTTAAAGACATATTTAAATGACTGGTATAATGAGGTTCATGTTTAGAATTTCACAGTTAGGATGCTCAGTTGGCCTGCATTGTTTATTTGTAATTTCAAAATGAGGGCATGTGGGAGCCATTGGCAGAAAAGGTGTCTGTTTACAAGTGAAATAAGACAGAAGCAGAGGGAAGGGGTTTAGTCAGCTGCCCCACTAATGTCAGTTGTACCATCTTTTCTCATCTTACTGCTGACAAGTGCATTTGTGAGGAAGAAATGGAAAGTATAGAATCGAATAAATTAGGGATAAATTAGTTCTGTCTCTGAAAGTGTGTGTTACACCCCAGGTTTTCAGAAACAGGGACCTTCACCGTGATCAGCTAGGCTCAAGTTCTGTTGAGAAATGCTCAAGATCATTTTCCTACTCTCCACTGAAAAATAATAATCAATTAAAAAACGTTGTGCTAGCAAAAAGCCAAATAATTGTATTTTTAACAGAGCATTATAAAAATGATTAGATATTTTTCACTAGAAGACATGCACTTGGCCAACAGGTATATGAGAAAAGGCTCCGTCAGCATCATTAGCCATCAGGGAAATGCAAATCAAAAGCAGAACGAGATATTATCTCTCCTCTGTTAGAGTGGCTGTTATCAAAAAGGCAGAAATAGCAAATGCTGGCAAGATGCTGAGAAAGGGGAACTCTGAACTCTGTTGGTGGGAATGTAAATGAGAATAGCCATTCTGGAAAAGAGCATAAAAGTTCCTCAAAAAACTAGGAATACAACTACTATATGATTTAGCACTTCCTCTACTGGGTATACCTGGGTATGCACAAGGACTTCAAAAAGTTCATGGAAAAATGAAATTAAAACATTATTAAATTAAATTAATTAAAAGTTTATTTTACTGGCAAAAAATTGAAATCCATGCATATAAGGTGTATTTAAAAATGTTAATATAAAATGTATACTATGAAAAAACTATGCACAGATTTCCAAATATTTTGCACCAAAAACAAACATCTTTTTTTTTTTTTTTTTTAAATACAGGCAGAGTGGACAGTGAGAGAGAGAGACAGAGAGAAAGGTCTTCCTTTGCTGTTGGTTCACCCTCCAATGGCTGCTGCGGCCGGTGCGCTGCGGCCGGCGCATCATGCTGATCCGAAGGCAGGAGCCAGGTGCTTCTCCTGGTCTCCCATGGGGTGCAGGGCCCAAGGACTTGGGCCATCCTCCACTGCACTCCCTGGCCACAGCAGAGAGCTGGCCTGGAAGAGGGGCAACCGGGACAGAATCCGGTGCCCCGACCGGGACTAGAACCCGGTATGCTGGCGCTGCAAGGCGGAGGATTAGCCTATTGAGCCGCGGCACCAGCACAAACATCTTTTAATTCTATTTTCCATAAACTTCTAGAAGTCATCTCATATATGCAATTATTGTTTGTCAATTAAAAAAAGTGGTGTGGTTTAGTTTGGACTCCCAGCATGTCTGCTACCGATGACTGATTACCAAACACATTCCAACTTCTGTCTCCACAAATTATTTCTCCCTCTCTCATCCATTCAGCCTACAGCCTACACCAGAGATCTTCTACACTGTAGGTCATGACCATGGCTTACACCTTTCTTGAAATTTTAATAATGGCTGTCCTGTATTACTTCTAGAGGAGATTAAACACCGTGGACTGTTGGCTGAGCCACTCTTAAAGTTTCCATGTATACTTGTGTATGTATTTTGGCTCAGACTCTGAACCTGAAGAGGGGCTGGCCCTGTGGCATGGCCAGTTAAGCCACCGCCTGCAACACTGGCATGCCTTATGGGCACAGGTTAGACTCTTGGCTGTTCCACTTTCTTTTTTTTTTTTTTTTTTTTACAGGCAGAGTGGACAGTGAGAGAGAGAGACAGAGAGAAAGGTCTTCCTTTGCCGTTGGTTCACCCTCCAATGGCTGCCGCGGCCAGCGCGCTGCGACCGGCGCACCACGCTGATCCGATGGCAGGAGCCAGGAGCCAGGTGCTTTTCCTGGTCTCCCATGGGGTGCAGGGCCCAAGCACCTGGACCATCCTCCACTGCACTCCCTGGCCACAGCAGAGGGCTGGCCTGGAAGAGGGGCAACCGGGACAGAATCCGGCGCCCCGACTGGGACTAGAACCCGGTGTGCCGGCGCCGCTAGGCGGGGGATTAGCCTAGTGAGCCGCGGCGCCGGCTTGTTCCACTTTCAATCCAGTTCCCTGCTAATGTGCCTGGGAAAGCAGAAGCGGAAGATGGCCCAAGAGCTTGTGCCCCAGCACCCATGTGGGAGATCTGGAAGAAGCTTCTGTCTTTGGCCTGACCAGGCTTCCAGGTGTTGCAGCCATCTGGGGAGTGAACCAGTGAATGAAAGACCTTTCTCTTTATCTCCCTCTCTGTAACTCTGCCTTTCAAATTAAAAAAAAATTTTTTAAATATTTATTTATTTATTTGAAAGGCAGAGTTACACAGAGAGAGAAGAAGAGGCAGAGAGTGAGAGACAGGTCTTCCATACACTGGTTCATTCCCCAGTTGGCCGCAATGGCTGGAGTTGAGCCGATCCGAAGCCAGGAGCTAGAAGCCTCGTCTGGGTCTCCTATGTGGGTACAGGAGTCCAAGGACTTGGGCCATCTTCTACTGCTTTCCTGGGCTATAGCAGAGAGCTGGATCGGAAATGGTGCAGGGAGGTCTTGAACTGGCGCCCATATGGGATGGTGGTGGCTTAACCTGCTACACCACAGCACCAGCCCCAAATTAAATAAATCTTAAAAAAAAAAAAAAGAACTTGCAGAATTTGACCAAAAATTGGATATCTGCTATTTTGAAAAACTAGGGACAAGTGTTTGGCAAATCAGTTATTATGCCACTTGGGTAGAGGGGCTGGCATTGTCCCAGCTGCTTACTTCCAATCCAGCTCCCTGCTGCTGGCCTGGGAAAAGCAGCCGAAGATGGCCCTGGTACTTGGAACCCTGCCACCCATGTGGGAGACCCGGATGAAGCTCCTGGCTCCTGGCTTTGGCCTGGCCAAGCCCTGTCCATTGTAGCAATCTGGGGAGTGAACCAGCAGAAGGAAAATTTCTCTCTGTCTCTCCCTGTTGGAAACTCTTTCAAATGATAAATAAAAAAAATTTTTTTTTTTTAAAAAAGGATGCCATTTAGGACATTCCATATTAGAGTGTCTGGGTTCTAGTCCCAGCTCTGCTTCCATTTCCAGCTTCTGCTGATGCATGCTGTGAGAGTCAGCGGGTGATGATTCAAGTATGTGGGTCCCTGCCACCCACACGGGAAACCCAGGTTGAGATCCAGGCTGCTGGCTTTGACCTGGCCTAGCCTGATTGTTGTGGGCATTTGAAGAGTGAACCAGTGGTTAAAGATCTCTCTTTGTCCCTGTCATTCTGCCTTTCAAATTAATTTTAAAAAATGAAATAATATGTAAGCAGTAAAACACTGGAAGTCCGGGCAACATCAGCATTACATCTTTACATAAAAATAATTAAACTTTCACTTAGATGGGTGCTGTTTCTCCAGTTTCCTACAGTGTCCAATACTTCCTTTTTTCTCATTTTTCCTAATTTAATTTTGCTCATTTTCATGTCCTGGACATTTCTACACATTGAAAATTCTTAGAGTATGAGCTCAAGTCCAGCTCCTTAGCCTTGTACATAAGACTTATCTGATTCAGACTTTTTTTTAAAAAAATATTTATTTATTTATTTGCAAGCCAGAGTTACAGAGAGGCAGAGGCAGAAAGAGAGAGAGAGAGAGACAGACAGAGACAGAGACAGAGACAGAGAGAGAAAATCTTTCATCCGCTGATTTACTCCTCGGATGGCTGCAGTGCAGTGGCTGGAGCTGCGCCCATCTGAAGCCAGGAGCCAGGAGCTTCCTCCTGGTCTTCCACATGGGCACAGGACTTGGGCTACTTTCTGCTGCTTTTCCCAGGCCATCGCAGAGAGCTGGACTGGAAGTGGAGCAGCTGGGACTTGAACGGACACCCATATGGGATGTCATTACTGCAGTTGGTGGCTTTACCTGCTACGCCACAGTGCCAGCCCTTGATTCATACTTTAAATGCTCATTTCTCTTTTCTTGGACTTTATACTGGAAAATTACAACCGCCCCAAGACACTGTCATTTAACCATTGGGACAGCATTCTGTCTATGTGAAAAGCCTCCTCCACTGTGATGGTTTGGATGTTAGTTTGGGTGTCCACCAAAGACCCATGTGTTCATGGCTTGGTTCCCAGGGTGGCACCATTGGGAGATGGAGCCTTTCAGAGGTGCTAGAAATGGGGAGTCCTCAGGCCAGTGAATTTAGTTCCCATGGAAGGGTTGTTAGAAAAGCCTGAGTTTGGCCTCACCCAGTGTTTCTCTACTTCCTGCTTCCCCATGTGTTCTTCCTCTGCATGTATTCTGCAAACTGCCAGGGGGCCCTTGCTGGAGCCTACATCATGTCGCTTGGATTGTCAGCCACCACAATGTGAGCCCAATGAGCCTCTCTTTCCTTCATAAGTAGACTTTTTTTCCTTCTGGAAAGTGATTCCTGATTTCCTTAGAGTTAACAATTCTGTCCTTTTTATTTTTTTCACATTTTTATCTGAGCATTGACCTTACTCCATTATTGGTTATATTACTCTATAATTTACTTATTTGAGTAAAATAAAGGGAAATTTTCTTTTATGAGCATCAGGCATGAAACTCCTTGTGGGCAGATCAAGCCTTTGAAGAGTAGTAGCTTTAATGAACTTGCTCAGGAGCTAAAACTGAGCCTCCAGGGCTGGAGTTTGAGTTCTCCCAGGAGTCAGAGAACCAAGAGGGGCCTTGTTGTAGGAATTATTGTTAGGGGGTGGTAGATAGGAGTGTATAGGGTAGGGCTGGGGGATAAAATTCAGAGAGGAGACTGGAAAGAACTGGAAAGGGAGAGAGGAAATTCAAATGCAAGATTTTAAAAGTAAAATCCACCAGGAAAATGAATAGGTCATTGAAAAGAATTAAAAGAGGCTGACTCTGCAGACTGGAGCAGGAGGGAAAAGCAGGTAGGGTGAGGGAGTTGCTCTTCACTGTCAGTCTTCTGGAGGTTTGTGTCTTTTTTTTTTTTTTTTAAGATTTGTTTATTTGAAAGATTACAGAGAGGGAAAGAGAGAGAGATGGACACACACACACACACACACACACAGAATCTTCTATCTGCTGGTTCCCTCCTGAAGTGGCCACAACAGTCAGAGCTGGGCAGGAGCCAGGGACTTCTTCCAGGTGTCTCACGTGGCTGCAGGGGCCCAAGCACTTGTTCCTCCTCCACTGCTCCTCCAGGCCATTAGCAGGGAGCTGGATTGGGAGCAGAACAGCTGGGAATCAAACCTGTGCCCCTATAGGATGCCGGCATTGCAGGCAGTGGCTCAACCCCCTACACCACAACATCAGCCCTGCAGGCTTGTATCTTAAACAGTGAAATGCCGATGATAAGGTTGATAAATTATTTAAAAATTATACTTAGTTGGCCGGCGCCACAGCTCACTAGGCTAATCCTCCGCCTATGGTGCCGGCACACCGGGTTCTAGTCCCGGTCGGGGCACTGGATTCTGTCCCGGTTGCCCCTCTTCCAGGCTAGCTCTCTGCTGTGGCCCGGGAGTGCAGTGGAGGATGGCCCAAGTACTTGGGCCCTGCACCTGCCTGGGATATCAGGAGGAAGCACCTGGCTCCTGGCTTCGGATCAGTGCGGTGCGCCGGCTGCAGCGCGTCGGCCGCAGCAGGCATTGGGGGGTGAACCAACGGAAAAGGAAGACCTTTCTCTCTGTCTCTCTCTCTCATTGTCCACTCTGCCTGTAAAAAAAAAAAAAAAATTATACTTAGGAAAACTTAAATCTAACAATCAGTTGTGTGTGTAATGTGATTCTCTTCCACGGTCACATAAACGCCCTCATTAATGACCAAAGTTGGAGTGATTGTTTTTCTCTTGGAAACAAATAGGAAAGCTGGGTTCAGAGTCCAGGCAGCCTCTGTATGTGTTGGTTCTGCACCTGTGGATTCAATCAATAGCAGACAAAAACATATTTAGAAAAGATATTGTAACTGTACTGCTGTGGTTTGACTATTTGTACCCCCAAACTCAGGAGTTCAGTCCCTGAAGTCTTACGTTAATGGTACTGAAAAAATGGAAATTTAATCCAATTAAGGTGTTTAAAGGTGAGGCCCTCAGGAAGTGATCATTTGTATTAAATCATTAGGGCAGAGACCCCATGATTTTTTTGTATTAATTAATTTTTTAAGGAATACAAATTTCATAAGTAGAACTTTAGGAATATAGTTATTCTTCCCACCATACCCACCTCCCCACCCAAAAGCCCACTCCTCTTTCTCCTCCCTCTCCCCTTCCCAGTCCCATTTTCCATTAAGATTAATTTCAATTAACTTTGTACAGAAGATCAACTCTATACTAAGTAAAGATTTCAACAATTTGGACACAAACACACACCAAAAAAACCCCTGAGAACTAGTTTTACAATTAACTCTCATAATACAGCTCATTGAGGATAGAAGTCCTGCATGGGAAGTAAGTACACAGTGACTCCTGTTGTTAATTTAACAATTTTAGGTATGATGTCAGTGACCATCTGAGGCTCTTGACATGAGCTGCCCAGGCTATGGAAGCCTTTATTTTTTTATTTGACAGATAGAGTTAGACAGTGAGAGAGAGAGACAGACATAGAGAAAGGTCTTCCCTCCATTGGCTCATCCCCCAAATGGCCGGTATGGCCTGCACCGCGCCGATCTGAAGCCAGGAGCCAGGTGCTTCTTCCTGGTCTTCCATGCTAGTGCAGGGGCCCAAGCACTTGGGCCATCCTCCACTGCCCTCCTGGGCCACAGCAGAGAGCTGGACTGGAAGAGGAGCAACCGGGACTAGAACCGGCACCCAAATGGGATGCCAGCGCCGCAGGCAGAGGATTAACCAAGTGAGCCATGGCGCTGGCCCTATGGAAGGCTTTTGAGTCCTCAAACTCTGTGTTTGGACAAGGCCATAAACAAAGTGGAAGTTCTCTCCTCCCTTTAGAGAAAAGTACCTGCTTCTTTGATGGCCCCTTCTTTCTGCTGGGATCTCACTCACAGAGATCCTTATTACTGGTTTTCATTCCCCAGTTTATTGTACCTTTTGTAGGGTGTTTCAGACTTCTGCTCTCTGTTCTCTTTCCCTGTATCTGTTATCAATAGGATGTTGGATTTCCTGGACTGGTCTTTGATGTCTTTTTTTACAGACACACTTTTTTCTTTCCTTGGTTTTCCACTATGGAAGATTTTCTCAACTTTATTTTCCAATCCTTCTATTGACTATTATGGTAAGCTAAATAATGGTACCTAGAGATAACAACTTTGTGGTCCTGAAACTTGTAAATATTACCTTTTATGGCAAAAGGGTTGATACTCCCTTAAGGGGCAAATGTGTGATTAAGTTAAGGATCATTAGCTGGAGAGATTACCCTGGATTATCTGGGTGAACTATAGAATTTTATTTGTTAAATTGAGAGGCAGGGAGACAGGGGTGGGGGAGGAAGGGAGGAGGAGGAGGAAGAAGAGGAAGAAGGAGAGAGAGAGAGAGAGAGAGAGAGAGAGAGAGAGAGAGAGAGAGAGAGAGAGAGAGAAAATTCCATTGCTGGTTCACTTCCCAGATGCCTGCAATGGTCCTACTGGGAGCAAAGTTGGAAGCCAAGAAATCAAATCAGGTGTCCCCTGTGGGGGGCAGAAACCCAGTTACTTGAGCTCTCATTGCTGCTTCCCAGGGTCTAGGAGACAGAACAGGGAATTGAACCCTGGTTCTCTGCTGTGGGATGCAGGTGTCTTCACTGATGTCTTAAGAACTAGGCTAAATATCTGCTCCTGGATAGTCTGTAAATGCAATAAAAGCATCCATAGAAGGGAAGAAGGCCATGATGTGGCAGCAAAAGGAAGCAGAGTCACAGAGAAGTTACCCATAGGCATTGAAAGTCGAGGAAGGGGCTGTGAGCTAAGGAATGCAAGGAGCACACCTCAGAAACTAGAAAAGGCCAGGAAAGGCATCTCTTCTAGAGGCCCTGGAGAGAGCAAAGCTGTGCTGTCACGTGGCTGTAGCTCAGTGATCCTGATTTCAGACTTCTGGCCTCTGGAACTATGAGTGAATAGTTGCTTTTAAGCCATTAAATTTGTGGCATGGTATCACAGAACCTGTAAGAAATGTATACGGATGACAAAAATGCACATGAAAAGATGTCCCGTATCGTGAGTCATGCATCAAGTGCAAATTAGGACACCGTGGAGTAACTCTATAGGGACTGGCACTTAGACCAGTGGATAAGGTGCCAGCTGGGATGCTTGCATTCCCCAACAGAGTGCCTGAGCTTGAGCCCTGGCCCTGCTTCTGATTCCAACTTCCTGCTAACGTACATCCTGGGAGATGGCACATGATGGCTCAAGTACTTGGGTCCCTGCCATCCATGTGGGAGACTTGGGTGTATAGTGGTATTTGTTTTAGAAATTAAAAAAAAATTAAATTTTATTTTAAATGGAGAGACAGAGATAGAAAGAAAAAAGAGAGTGAATGTAAGCTCTTTCACCTACTGGTTTATTTCCTAAATATCCATAACATCCGGGGCTGGGCCAGGCCAAAGCCAGGAGCCTGGAAGTCATTCCAGGTCTCCCATGTGAGTGGCCTCTGGGGAGTAGTTATGAAAAGATCCTAGTTAATACCTTGAAGGGCCTGAGCTGAGACTGGTTGGAGGTTGCCCAAACACCCAAGCAGGAAGCAGCTATTGTGGCTAGGGCTAAGTGCCACTGACAGGAACACTATATACAAAAAGGTAGAAGGAAGAAGAGAGTTTCTGGTCTCCCCATCCTGCCCCAATCTCTCTGTACCACAAAACTTAACAGGAAGCTGGCTGGCAAAGGAGCTTGGGAAATGTACTTTGTGGGGTCCCTGTTCCAGCAACATTGAAACGAGGAATGAATTTGGAGTTGAGAGAAGATAGCCATACAGGGGCACAAAGGACCTAACATGGACCTGTATTTCCTTTTTTTTTTTTTTTTTAAGATTTATTTTTATTCATTTGAAAGACAGAGTTACAGAGAGAGGTAGAGACACACACAGAGAGAGAGGTATTCCATCCACTGGTTCACTCTCCAAATGGCTGGAGCTGTGCCAATCCAAAGTCAGGAGCCAGGAGCTTCCTCTGGGTCTCCCATGTGGGTGCAGGGGCCCAAGGACCTGGGCCATCTTCTACCTTTCTCAGGCCATAGCAGAGAGTTGGATTGGAAGAGGAGCAGCCAGGACTAGAACTGGTGCCCATATAGGATGCCAGTTCTTCAGGCCAGGGCTTTAACCTGCTGCAGCACAGCACAGTCCCGTATGAACCTGTATTTCTAGGCAAGCTCTTTCTTGAGGGTTCCAGATTTGTGCTCCTGATTGTCAGCCGTCACCTTTGCATGTCACTCGTGAGGATATCCGAGGCAAACAGAAAATTGCCTACTGTGCACAAACCAGTTTTCTCACATCTCATTTTACCCCCAGAATACTTCATGTCAACTTTGGATTCAGTGTAGGAACTAGCGGCAGTGTTGTTTTCCAGAGGGAAGATATTGGCCCAAGCAGAATGGCTCATATGTCCGTCAAGAGTTCTCTTCTTCATGGGTCTTCCTATCCCCGTAAAGGACAGCGTTGCTGAGCCACCGGAGTCCAACTCAGGAGTTTGTCTCACAACTGGTTCTCCCCCAACACGACCTCGCAGCCACTGACTAGTCCCAGTTTTGCCCCTTACCATCTCTTAATTGCAGTTGCTCTCCTAAGTTGCCTTCATTGTTGTCTCAGCTGGCCTCTGATCAAGTCTTCCAAGGACACTGCAATTACTCCCTAGTTGGTCCTCCAACCATGGATTTATCCTTCTTCTACCCATTCTGTTTTTTTTTTTTTTTAAAGATTTATTTATTTATTTGAAAGTCAGAGTTACACAGAGAGAGAGGCAGAGGGGAGAGAGAGAGAGAGAGAGAGTGCGAGTGAGTGAGCTTCCATCCACTGGTTCACTCTGCAATTGGTGGCAATGGCTGGAGCTGGGCTGATCTGAAGCCAGGCGATAGGAGCTTCCTCCAGGTCTCCCATGTGGGTGTAGGGTCCCAAGGACTTGGGTATCTTCTACTGCTTTCCCAGGCCATAGCAGCGAGCAGGATAGGAAGTGGAGCAGCTAGGACTCGAACCAGCGCCCATATGGGATGCCGGCACTACAAGCCACGGCTTTACCCACTACACCACAGCGCCGGCCCCTACCCATTCTGGGTTTTTTTTTTTTTTTTGACAGGTAGAGTTATAGACAGTGAGAGGGAGAGAGACAGAGAGAAAGGTCTTCCCTCTGTTAGTTCATTTCCCAAATGACCGCCATGGCCAGTGCGCTGCGCCGATCCGAAGCCAGGAGCCAGGTGCTTCTTCCTGGTCTCCCATGTGAGTGCAGGGGCCCAAGCACTTGGGCCAACCTCCACTGCCTTCCCAGGCCACAGCAGAGAGCTGGACTGGAAGAGGAGCAACCGGGACTAGAACCAGCACCCATATGGGATGCCAGCGCTGCAGGTGGAGGATTAACTGAGCCATGGCGCTGACCCCACCCATTCTGTTTTGATAACTGGAGGGATTTTTAAAATTATGCAAATCTGAGATCAGTGTCGTGAGAAAGCATCATTCAGCAAGTAGCAGTGACCAATGCAGGAAGGAAAGAGGCACGCATGTGCTGACGAATGTGTTTGAGACCATTGAATTGATATTTTGTGCAAGGGTTAAAGGGTGGCTTGGAGCAGTGTAGCTAAAAGATTGATCTTGACTCTTAGAAATACAGGAGGTGAGATAAAGGGAAAAATGAGGTAAAGCTTGGAAAGAGAAGAGAGAAAAACAAAATTAGAATCATAACTTTTATTTCTAACGAGTTGGCAAGCAGCAGAATTTTTACATTAACGTGAAGGAAATTATTTTTATAAATCCCAGAAGTGTCTATAACAATTCTTTAAAAAAGATGCAAAGAGAAAAAACCTAGTTGCTATTGTAAAGGAGAAGAAAAAATGTAAAAGTGGGGAATGAAGTTATGGTTCCTTTTTGAAGTTCAGGAGAAGACCAAAGAGCTACAAAGATTTTTGCAGAATTGGTGTGTGTGTGTGTGTGTGTGTGTGTGTGAATGGATTTAATATTAAGAGAGGCAGAACCGTTTTCATGAGCTTGGCATGGCAGTTACTGACATCTGCAAAATGAGTCTGGAACAAGAATAGTGGAGACCTGGCTGGAGGCGTAACATGTAGATTATGAATTAAGTTTGCTTTCTAAATGATTAAGTCTGGTGCCACCTCTGTTTTGGAAAGAAGATAATTAAAAATAATGTGAGGAAATCATGGAAATTGACAGCTGATATAAGACAGTGGCATCACACGTCACCTTATTAGGAATAACCGTAACTGAGCTTGTTACAAAGCAAAGCAAACCAAACCAACGGAGTCAAAGCCTCATTTCCTGAGGTGGGAAGTTTGTCTTTTAAAGCAGAGAGAAGGTTTATGAGAAAGAGACTGTAAATCTATTCAAAATTATATTGCTCTGTGCTAAAAGCATTTGAAGATGATGGTGATAGGAATGATAAGAAAGTGGCTAACAGAAAATAGATGTTTCATTATGATATGGAAAAAAGTGTGAAGGTATTTTAGAGTTTGTGGACAATAAAATTAACAGATTAGTATATTTTAGTGTCAAAAGCTTTGAAATCCATCCTTATGAGGATTCTTCAAAAATTCATAGGGAATACATGTTATAAAAAAACTATGTGGCTGGCGCCGCGGCTCAATAGGCTAATCCTCCGCCTTGCGGTGCCGGCACACCAGGTTCTAGTCCTGGTCAGGGCGCCGGATTCTGTCCCGGTCACCACTCTTCCAGGCCAGCTCTCTGCTGTGGCCCGGGAGTGCAGTGGAGGATGGCCCAAGTGCTTGGGCCCTGCACCCGCATGGGAGACCAGGAGGAAGCACCTGGTCCTGGCTTCGGACTGGCGCGGTGCGCCGGCTGCAGCAGCCATTGGAGGGTGAACCAACAGCAAAGGAAGACCTTTCTCTCTGTCTCTCTCTCTCACTGTCCACTCTGCCTGTCAAAAAAAAAATTTTTTTTAAAGCTTTTTACTTAGAGAAACGCATAGGAGAGTGAGGGCTCTGTGTGAAAGCGAGAGGGAAGTCTGGATTCATAGCAAACATCAGGAGCCAGCCATGAGGAGCATGTAGGCCAGAAGGCAGGGGGCAGGTGGCCTGAAGGCCACGTGCCCCAGAGGCACAGGGGCAGCAGGGGCCCGCAATGGTGAAAGAGGCAAAAAAAAAAAAAAAATAAAAATAAACTTTTTTTTAATCCCATTTTCTGACAAATGTTTTGAAGTACCCTAATATTTCCATCAAAAGCTCACTCTACTTTGAGTGTGAGTCAGTGTGGCTGTGGGCATTAAATACAATAATATCTGTAAAAGTGCCTTATGAACTAGGAAGCCCCGTTCAGTGAGCATCTATTCAGCATCTACCGTGGGCAGAGAAGCTCTGCAGATATAAAGCTGAAGAGACACAGTCCCTGTCCTCAAGGAGCTCATAGTCCAGGGGTGGCAGACAGCGGGTTAGAATGCACTGCAGTCTGTAGATAGAAGACACCAAGAACTTGCTGATGACTGAGGGACCATCTTAACACAAGATCCCTGCACCTCCGTGCTACTCATCACTTTATGCAATTAGATGACGCCAGATCCACCATCCTATGTGCGTCTAGATAGGGAAATGAAAGATATGGACGCAGAATTACCCATGTGCAAATTAGGGAAATGTCTTCTAGACAGACAAATTGGAAAACATGGCCCTTGTGCAAAAACCAATCAGAAAAGGGCCTTCCTTTTGGTGGGCCAGTTCAACCCAGGGTAAGAGGGTGGGGTTGGGGCCACCTCTTACATTAGAGGGGGTTACCTTATCAGGCACAGCCTGAAACAGTAAACGTGGTGGCCTGGCAGTGGTAGGTTTTTGCGGTTCCTGCCTTTGAAGATTACAATTTTCTAAAGAAAACCAAAAAAGCAGAACAAAACCACAGCAGAATATAACATATGCACATATGTGGATGCAATTTAGGGGAAGGATTTAATTTTGCGAACTTGGTCTGTGGAAGCACTTTGCATAAACTGGCAAAGACACTTGCCAGCTCTACCATGTGAGCTTTAACAGAGTCTGAACATGGAAAGCACTCTGAGCAGTTAGAGCAGAGATGAGTTTAGTACAAGCTTGGTCACCCAGGTGGTGGTGCTAGGAAGTCAAACAGGGCATGGTGAGCCAACTCAGATGGCCCTTCCAATGGAGGGAAGATTATGGCCTTGCTAGGCAGGAGTAACAGAGGGAAGAGTTAGTGTTGCTGGAGCCCAGAGCCAGGGCTGTGCTATGGAGAATGAACTGAAGCCACAGTAGGCTTGGGTGTTACAGGCTGGCACAGCAGAGAGAGAGAGTGCCATGGCTACGGGTGTTGTTGAAGGTAGAGAAAGATGGAGAGAAAGGACCTGGGGTCTTCTTTTCTTTGTTTCTTTATTGTCTCTCCAGTACTGCCCCTGGCTGATGGCAGATCCCCCAACTCCAGGGAAATGTAGCTTTGGAGCTGAGCCCCCCAGTACACAGAGCAGGCCAGGGGGAGATGGGGGAAGAGTCCTCAGGGCTAACAGGCTCAGAACTGCTGCAACAACAGAGAAGATACGACTGAGCTGATCACCAAGAGTGATATGAAGGGTTTTTTTTTTTTTTTTGGGGAAAGATTTATTTATTTATTTGAAAGATGGAGTACAGAGGGGCAGAGGCAGAGAGAGGGAGAGAGAGAGAGAGAGAGAGAGTCTTCCATCCACTGGTTCACTCCCCAGATGGCCACAATGGCTGAAGCTGTGCCGATCTGAAGCCAGGAGCCAGGAGTTTGTTCTGGATTTCCCATACAAGTACAGAAGCCCAAGGACTTGGGCCATCTTCCACTGCCTTCCCAGGCCATAGCAGAGAGCTGGATCAGAAGAGGGGCAGCTGGGACTCAAACCAATGCCCATATGGGATGCTGGCATTGCAGGTGGTGGCTTTACCCACTACAACACAGCACTGGCCCCAGGAATTGTTCTTCCTATATAAAGAAGGTTTGTAAAACTCAACACAGACAGAACATTTCTGTCATCACAGAGCATTCCATGGCAGAGCTCTGTCTCACAGGATGCTTGCATGAGAGAGAACAAGTACTCGAAGAAAGACATTATAGTCCCAACTAATAGAATTGCTGGGTCAGTGATCTTGGCACAGGCTACCAGGCCCACAGCTGGAGTAACTGGGTTTCATCTCAGGATCCAGGAGAATTCAAGGCCAGAGGGGCTGACACCAGGTGGGTGGCAGCTAAGGATAAGTGTTCTGGAATCAGAATGCATGCGTTCAAATTCCAGCTCCTCCCATTTCTGGCTTTTTGCTCACAAACTGCTTAACCCCTCTGTGACTTAATTCCATTATGTGTAGAAATATGAGGGACTGGATCTGCTTTACATGTGAAGTTGTGAGGATTGAATGAATTAATGTTTGCACAGACCTCAGAACTCACATCATGTAAGGATTTCCTATTATTATTATTATTATTCTACCTTCCTTATGTTTAAGTTTCTGGGGTTCAATTAACAAACACTTTAGAAACAGTGTCATAAATTGTGAACAGTTTGTTACTCAAAAAGACAACAGTGGGGCTAGGAGGGGAAATAAGATGAATGGTTACATCCAGGTGAAGGGATGGAGTCTGGAGACAAAAGATTCAGGAGCCATTAATACGAAGATTTCGGAGGCTGATCTTGAAAACCAGTGGCAGGGGCATGCATGCGTGGCACTAAAGATGCCACTTGGAACGCCAGCATCTCACATCCGAGTGGCTAGGTTTGAGTACCACCTCTACTTCTGACCCAACTTCCTGCTAGTGTGCATCCGGGAAGGCAGCAGATGATGTCTTAGGCAATGACGATCCACATGAAAGATGTGGATTAAGTTTTGGCTGTTGCAGCCATTTGGGGAGTGAACCAGTACATGGAAGATCCTTTCTCTCTCTCTTTCTGACTTTAAAAGAAAATGAAAAATTTTAAAAACCACAAGTGGCAAACTCATAAGATGACACTAGATATATTTATTTATGAATAACAAAATTTCCCGTTACTCTTGTGAAATTTTTTATTCTGGTTTCACTGTTCTTATATCCTTTCTTCATAGGGTAGTGCTTATTTGGAGTTTTATCTCTAAGTGTTCCATTTTTGGTGATGACTTAAATGAACAGTGCTAGACATTACGATTAAGAAGATACTGGTTTATTATCTAGAAAGAACAGTAAGTTATTAGTAACTTGCTTGGAACCAAATAACACACCTTGGAGAAGTGTTGCCAGCTTCTTTAAAAAAACAAAGCGCACATTCTCATGTGATTTCTTTCTAACATGTAACAAAAAACTTTATAATCACTAATCCATCCAGTTCTTCACTTTATTTGCTGGTAATGAGGCCCAGAAAGCATATATTTTGTTACTTTACATTTTTTTTCCAGATTTGTTTTAGTAATTAGAGATCTGAAAATAGTTAGGAAGATGTATTTATTTATTTGAAAGTCAGAGTTACAGAGAGAGAGAGAGAGAGAGAGAGAGAGAGATCTTTCATCCACTGGTTCACTCCTCAGATGGCTGCAAGGGCCAGGTCTGGGCCAAGTGGAAGCCAGGAACCAGGAGCTTCTTCTAGGTTTCTCACATGAGTGGCAGGGCCCCAAGTACTTGCCATCTTCTGCTGCTTTTCCCAGGTCATTAGCAGGGAACTAGATGGGAAATGGAGCAGCCAGGACTTGAACCTGCACACATATGTGATGTTGGCATTGCAGGTGGTGGCTTTACCCCGTGCCACAATGCTGGAGAGATTTATTTATTTGAAAGGCAGAGTGACACATGGAGGGGGTGTGGCAATGGGATATATATATAGAGAGAGAGAGAGAGAGAAAGAGAGAAAGATCTGAGAGATTTTCCATACACTGGTTCACTGTCCACATGCCTGCCCACATGCCAGGGCTGGGCCTGCTCGAAGCCGAGACCAGGAAGGATCTCCCTCTGGGTTCCCATATGGTGGCAGGGATCTGAGTACTTTTTTTTTCCCCCAAAGATTTATTTATTTATTTATTTATTTTGAAAAGTTTATGATATTTTATTTTATTTTTTTTTCTTTTTTTAAACTTTTATTTTATGAATATAAATTTCCAAAGTACAGCTTATGGATTACAATGGCTTCCCCCCCATAACGCCCCTCCCACCTGCTACCTTCCCCTTTTCCACTCCCTCTCCCCTTCCATTCACATCAAGATTATTTTTCGATTCTCTTTATATACAGAAGATCATGATTCAACAATTCTTAACAAAACCTTAACAAATCCCATCAGCAATATATAAAGTGGTTAATATACCACAATCACATAGGCTAATTTCAATGATTAAAAATTATTTAATATTAAAAAATTAATGTCATTCACAATAATAACAGACACAAAGAGAAAAAGAACTACATGATCATCTCAATAGATGCATAATACTATTTGAAAAAATTTAGAATCTCTTTACGATAAAATTTCAAGCACATACATAACATCTAAGATAATCTGTAGTCAGTAGCATACCATATTTAAAGGTGAAATATCTAATGCCCTTTTCTAAAGAGTAGAACTACTAAAGCAAGGATATCTGTTCTTTCCACTTTTATTCAACATTGTACTGGGAGTTCTAGACAATGCAGCAAGTAAAGATAACAGATAATATAATATAAAAAGGAAGAAATAAAATTACCCAAACTTTTAGAAGAGGTAATCTTATGTGCAGAAAATCTTGCAGAATATACCAAAATAGCTACTAGAATTACAAGAGTTTAGCAAGTTTGCAGAATATCTAGTTATTGTACAAAATCAATTATATGTCCACGTATTAGCAACAAATAACTGATAACCAAGACCAATACAATTTACCATAGTGTTAAAAACTGTGAAATTTTTAAAGATGAAGTTAGCCAAGGATATATAAGACCTGCACACTGAGAACAAGAAAACAATGGTAAAAAAAAAGTACAAAAATTAAAAAAAAAAGATATCTATGTGCATATATTCAAAGACCCAGTGTTATTGAGGGCACTTCATCCCAAATTAATATAGATTCAATGAAATCCCAATCAAAATACCTGGAGGGTGTTTTATAGAAAAAGATTTATTTATTTGAAATTAGAGTTACAGAGAGACTGAGGCAGAGAGGGAGAGAGAAGTTTCCTTCTACTGGTTTATTCCCCAAATAGCCACAATGGCCAGAGCTGAGCTGATCCAAAGCCAGGAGCCAGGAGCTTCTTCTGGGTCTCTCATGTGGGCATAGGGGCCCAAGGACTTGGACCATCTTTCACTACTTTCCCAGGTGCCTTAGCAGGATTAGTGGGTTGGAAGTGGAGCAGCTGGGACTTGAACTGGCGCCCATTTGGGTTGCCAGCACTGTAGGTGGTGGCTTTACCTGCTGCATCACAGCGTTGGCCCTGGGACCTGAGTACTGAAGCCATCATCTGGAACCTCCAGACACATTGGCAGGAAGCTGGATTGGAAGTGGAGGTGGGACTCCATCCCAGACACTATGATATGGGATGTAGGTATCCTAGGCAGTGGCTAAACATGCTGTACCCTCATTGCCCACCCATGAAAATAGAATTTTTGAGGTGCTTCTACGTAGCATTTATATCTGGGGTATTTTAATGTCACTGAAGTGCATTTAGGTTCTAGGTACTTTCCTCTCCCTGCTGAAGGTGATTCAGAGCAATGCAAGTGGATGTCCTTCTCGGTAGTCTTTGCCACGTGTGGTCTGTGTCAGTGCCCTGCACTTGTTATTTATGTTCTTTAGGAATATGACAGCTTTCTCTAATCCTCCAGGCAAAGAATTGAAAATTGAATTTCTAGAGAAAAAGACTCGTTGGATGATTCTTCAGATCAGCTAAATTTTCCATCCTATTTATTCAATTTTTTGTTGAATGCTTATTTTCTTTCATATTGATTCAGGAGATGCTGAACCTAATGCTAGGCTTATGGGGGGAGCACTCTATTAAGGTTCTAGTTTAGCTGCTTTCCTATGTCATTATGTCCATGGGCATTGAATTTCTCTTTCTGCCTGTTGATTTCTTGAACTCCACATGCTTTTCCTCATTTTTGTCAATCTGAAATGCTTTTCTTCTCATAAGAAATGGCAGATCCCTGTCTTGGGAGCAATAAACAACTTTATGGTCATTGTACTTAGAAAGTGTGTTAGGCAAGGAACTGGCCTCACCATGGTCACCTCTTCTTGTTTTGCTTGGCTTATTCATCATTTGTCTTAACCTGGAAACTTAAGAAATCTCAATATCCATCTTGGTGTGTGGTCTCAGGTTTGGAAGGAATGACTTGGCGGGACTTGTAGAAATAGTAAAAACCCCTTTGGATCATTTATCTACTCAATGGAATGGAACAACGGCACCCAGCTGTCTCTGAAAATTGCAACTAATTTATAAGAGTAATGAAGAGGGATTTACCAAGGCAGAGCATTTCACTACCTGGTGGCAGTTTCAGCTTTGAAAATTATGTGAAAAAAGAAATCACTGACCACAGTGGTAGCAGCCACTTTTCTACCAGGGCAGATGTTCCTAACAAATCCCTACGGGCTGATCCAGACGAACAGTGACAAAGAAAAGTGTTCTTTTCTGACTGTCACCATTACCAGTCCTGTTTTTCTTCCCTCTTCTAAGTAGCAAGCTGTGAGCTGCAGAAGTAGCTAGTGCAAAATTTTGAAGTACTGCATATTCCCCACACTGCTATTAAAATAAAAATTCCACTGGTGTATTATAGAATTAAATGATCCTAAGGAAAATAGTAGCTCTTAATATTCCATCAGTAGTTTCTTTGTTACTTTAACCTCCCACAAAGAAGACATAACAATGGTTTCTAAGTCTGGCTAGAAGGAAGCAGGATGGTGCTGCTTTTCTACCCAGAAGATGACTAATTTGGAAGGGGGACATTAGGTTTAAAATGATATACACAGCCCCTTTTCCAAGAATACCCAAATGCAGTATTTTTGTTCTTATTTCCCTTCTAATTTCAGGTCATACAATACTTTGCTTTTTCATTACAACAGATGGGCAGAGGCTGCTCTCTTTTCTTGGCATCCTTCTGAAGTTCTTTGCTTGGATTAATCTTGAGACTAATTCAAACAGGGATTCATTCTCCTGCAGCTGGTGGCCAGCGAAACTGCAGTTTCTCTTGCTTTCCACGTTAAATGTTGTTAAAAATGACCAACAGTTGGGGATCTGTGGCTCCTACTGTATTATCTTGGATACTTCCTTACCCAAGGCAATACCTCTGAGTAGCAATGTTTGATTTAGTTCTTTACCATCTGCAGGATTCCACTGACATATTCTGTGACCTTAATGTTCTTCCCTAACCCTGAAGGTGTTGATATGAGAAAGTAGGGCTTTGAGAGGTGGTTAGTTTGGGAGGGCAGAGCCACAAGCAGAGGCCCCTTGCTCCTTTCTTCTTGTGAGGGCACC